GAATTTTTGAAGCACTTAGGTCATAGTGCAGTCACAGTAAAAGGATGAGACTAAATTAAATAGCGAGTAACATGAAAATAAATTTTAGTAGATGGCACAAGAGATGCTAGCTCTTTAGAACAGTGCCCATTATAGTATTTATAGAAAAGAGAAAAAGAAACAACATTACAACAATGTGACAATAGTTGAAAGTTGGCTGCAAGAGCAGCCTTAACTATATTTATAATACATTTTTGCACCTTGTCTAAAAGAAAAAGGGCGTTATTGAAAGATTCTCCCCTGGTATGGCTACAGTATTCCATACAAGGACGGATTTAAGATTTATGGAGATAAAGAATAGAAATGGGAATGAGAAAGTGGCAAGCATGATAAAGAGATGCAACCTTAGCAGATGCTGATTTTGCAATCGATTTGATATATTGTTTCCAAGAATAATTGGAAATAGAGATACTCCTAGAAGACAAAGGATAGATGACTCATCGAGCACATTACTATTCATAAGAATTTAGATTGTTGTGATAATTATAAGCTAAAAAAAATTGATTTTTATCTGAGTTAAAGTTCACCAATTACTGAGAGCCCCATGCTGTAGCATAAGTGAGATTTTTTTCAAGTTTAAATGCCTGCCCAACCAATCAGAGAGTTTTGACTTCTTATCAAAATAAAATTATATGGTAGTAGTAAATTATTGACATTTTGCATTATGTAGTATATTATGAAGGAATACATATTATTGCTGTTATTATTTATTTTATTTTTTTTATCTGATTGTAGTTATGTCAGAATAAGACTACAAAAAGATTTAAAATTCAGGTCCTAGTGCTAAGCGACTACAAGAGACAAAAAAAAGTCCAGAAAAAAATTCTAAAGTTAATCAGAAGCATTTTATTACTTGAATTAGAAGTAGAGCATTTTATAAATCTACGGCAGATGAAGAACAGAACTGTTTATTGATATGGTAAAATCCTCACATCTAGTATCCACACTTAACAGTTCTGGCAAAGGAATTTTTTAGCATTCTAACTTCCAGTGTATTACTGGAGTCAATGTTTTCAGCAACTGAATTAATTCTGAACTCAAAAAAAAGTAATTCAAGTTCTTTCGATATGAACATGACTCTTATGGCAATACTAGCTTTATTTGATTTTCAATTTATTAAAAAAAAAAGAATTTTTTCTTTAGAATTTAGAATTAAATATTTGTATGTTTTTTTGTCAAAAACATTGCATTTTTTAGTTTGAGCAACTTGCTTAGCCAGAAGCCAGCAACTTTGATGGTTAGCTAGTATCAGCTAGTTGATAAAGTCACTAGCTGATACTTACTCAAGTTGCACATTGTAAGCATGGCTTTAACCGTTTGTTAGTTACTAAATGGCAGTTTTAAACATTAAACAGGTCAAGACATGTAATTACTTACTTTTTTGTATATATTTTTTGTTTTGACAATCAAGCACACTCTGCTACAGTGCTGGAAATAGTTATTTAATGTTGTCAATCAACACTATTTAGCTGAAATGAAAAATATTGAAAATCAGACTATCAAATTATTTTCCAGAGGATCAAATTGTGTTTTTCATGTAATTTTTGTAACCATAACACTTAAAAGCCTTTTGATGAGACTTTTTCTCTGCATGTATGATTTCAGAACTTTGTTTAAATAAAAATCCTTTTCCACCACTGCATTTTGATGTTTAGTATTTTAAAATCTGAATTTAAGAAGCATATTCATTTAAGCAACCAACCATTAACATTGTATTTTATAAGTGTAGAATCTTTACATTTATTAACTGTTTTTATTGTAACTTTCTTTTGTAAAGTTTTACTTTTTTCTTTGTGGTTGGTTAAGAAATCAGATACTGATTTCTTATTAAATGAAATAATTGCCTGTTGTTTTGTCTCCAATTAATAATAATGATAATTTTATACTTTCTTTTTAATTAATTTTAATACTTAAAACAAAACCTATTTCTTTGTTTTCACCTTTAATGATTTCAAACTTTTGAAATCATTAAAGGTGAAATCATTACAACAATTTAAGCAAAATTAAGTAGTTATTTTGCTTAAGTTTTTATGTTCTCAAACAGTATTTTTTCTACCTATCAAAAGCTCAAGTTATTTTTTATTTGGACCTTGAAAATTTTCTTTAAAACATTTCAAGTTATTCTTTCAAATTCATTTCATTCAAAAATGTTCCATTTATTCATAAAAATTTATTGACAATTAACTTTCAAAATAAAGTTATAAAAAATCTATGATGATTTCAAACTGTGTTCATTCCACCAATTTCCACCAAAAAACATTCAGTATTTTTTTATTTTTTAATATTTTTGCTTCAATATAGTTTTTCTTCAATATAGTTTTGCTTCAATATATTTTTGCTTCAATATAGTTATAGTTCAATATAATTCAATATAGTTTTTACACTTTTTTAATACTGTTTTTTTTTTAATACCAAGATTTTTACAGCCTGAAATATTTTATAAATAATTTGCCAACTTATTATTTCATAATGATCGAGTTGCCTTGCAATTCTTGAAAATGGATGTTGAGATCAAAACATCATTTTTTTTAAAAGTAGACAGTCATTAACTGCTGATAAATCAATTTTTTCCACACTGTAACTTTTTATTTTTGTTTTTTGTCTTGTATTACATGGCTAATGATTGTTTTTAACTATTATTATCATTTTTTTTTCGTTTGTTTTTATTTTTTATTCGTTTTTATTTTTTTATTTACAATAATATACATACAGTTGATTCATTGAAATATCTTTAACTTTTTTCCCATTATGTAATAATTCGGGCTATAATCTTCACAATATCTTAAAACTCAATTAAAAAAAATATTTTTAATGCAATTTTTTCATTCCTCACATACAAGTTAACATGTTACAAACAAATAAAGAAATAAAGGCTCCTAAAGACTAAAAAATAGTAGTAAAAATTATACTGCAAAGAAATACTCTGCTGCAGAAATAAATTTTATTTGCTTCTATAACATAATAGGCTTCTGTTAAAAATACAAAGACTCTTATAAAGAACATGCTATGTCTTTCAGCTGGCAAATTTTTACTCATTATCTTGAACTTTTCAACAATTTTAAAAAATTTTAAAAAACAAATTTTCAAGAAGTATTCTTTTAAAATTCTTTAAAATTTGATTGAAAATTCAACTTTTTTTATAATTTGAACTTCAGAAAAGTGTTTGTTTAAAAGATTAATTGTTTTAATAAAACTTTTTATCTAGTGTCAAAACATTCTGCTAGGAAAACTTATAATCAAATGTATAATAGAAAAGTACAAGATATTGAAAAACCTTGAGAAGGAGTATCTAAAAAATTTTAACATAGGTTAAGAATAAAAACAAATTATTGACCTGAAAAAAAATGGCAGTAATTCTAAACATGATGTTTCATATTGGTAATTTCAAAAGTATTGAGAAGACTATATTTGTGTGATTTATTGCAAAAAGAAGCCAATAAATATCAATCAATGACCTCTGAAAGAAAAGGCACTAAAATGCTTGAAAGATGATTAAAAGGAAGGTTTGGAATTTAAAGTAACTTATTGTTGGTTTCATAATTGGAAAGAAAACTTAGTTCAAATATGTCAAATTTTTAAAAATTTAACTATAAACACATACACATGCATCAGCAATTTTTAAAAAGTGTGATTTAAGTTAAAGTTCAATTATTCTCTTCCTATTTTTAGGAATGACATCAACTTTAAAAGCATCTCTTGCAAGAGTGCCTCTGTGATGAATAATATGACTGCACTTACATGTGAAATAAAAAAAAGCTTATAGTGAGACCGAGGAAACTTTAGACATATAAAAAAATCTTTGACCCTGTTAGGTTTAAATAAATGTTGTCTATGGATATGTTAATAGACATATGCTCTTAACTTTTAAACAGTTAGATGTTTGCACAATAACAGATTTTAGAGTGAAAAGTTTTTTTGTTACTTTAATGTAAAATTTTCAATTTAAAGTGAATTCAGATCCTAGTTTCCAACTCTGCCAGAGTTAAAAACTAGGTTGGTGCAGTTTTTTTTTTTTAAATGGTTACCTGATGATGTTTGGGAATGTAAGCAATACATTCTTATATATATTATATAATCTATAAATGAGTTTGTAACAATTTCCTCGATTTTTTTATTACCCCTCATTGGAGGAGACTATTGGAGGAGACTATTGCAATGATTGCTACATTTACTATGGTTAATTATTAAAGTTTTGTAAATTTTTATTTGAACAATCATTAACAAGTGGTAGATCTATAATAGCCACATATACCCCAAAATAAGAGACAATTGAAGCTGCAAAAAAAAGCAAGAATGGCGAAAAAATTTATTAAAAAGCCAAGCAAGAAGAATTTACTGGGAAAAACCTTTAAAAATGCAATACCATTAAAAACCACATCAGATGAATCAAAAGACCAAAATATTTCAATCAATGAAAGTACATATAACCTTGATGACAGCAGTACTGGTGTCATTGAATGGATTCAATGACAGCAATACTGGTACTTTAGATGTGCCTTCTGTTATTATGAAAGTATTTTAACATTTATTATAAATTTGATAAAGTTTTTATTTGTAAGTTTCAGTTAAGTATTATAATGGAAAAAATTAGAAAAAAAGGTTTTTTAACTGACCATTCAAAAATAAACAAAAACAAGTGACTGTAAAGTCTATATTTTTGTGTGTCTTATTGATCTTCCCTTTTTAAATTTTTGTTTTACATACTGCCATTGAACAATGTGAGCTTCACTTTTTTTCATTTGAAGTTTTGTTTTTTAACTTTATTTTGTTTTATTTAAATGAAACTAATAAATAAAACTGATTATTAAATACAAGCAATTACAACTATGCTAATAATTATGATGATTATAAATATAATAGTAACTACTATTTAGTAATATTATTATCTTTCATTAGACAACTCGTAAGTAAATTAATTTTACATCATAAAAGTTAAATGACATATTAATTTTGTTTTTTAGATAGTGGAATGCAGCCCATTTTACTTTCAGGTATTTAAAATTTTTATTCTCTAAAACATATTTATTCACTCAAAGTTTTAATGCTAATGATTTGAACTCAAATATCTTTATATCTTAACGTGATGATAAAATCAAAACGAGAACTGCCATATTAAGAAAGTATTGTTTACTCCTCAACAGAATTTTTTTATAAAGGCCTGTGCAATTACTATAAGCACTATTCTAAAAGTGTTAACATTTTAAAAAGTATTTTAAATGTTTAAAATTTGCGTTAGTTTTTTGATGATTTATAATTTAGTTAAATGAAAACTGCTATTAGAGTATTATTTACTACCTGCAATCAATTTTTATTTACAAAAATAAGATAACAACTATTTGACAACTATTTAATAATTACAATAAAAATGGTAATGTTCAAAGTTCTAAAGTTGTTTGTTTTTAAAATATGTTATTGATTTTTTTCAAAATTATAAACAAATTCTAATTAAGAAAAATAAAAAAAAATTCAAAACTACAAATGTACCTAAACTACAAAACCCTGGTTTTGGGCTGCAAAGCCTAAAAAAAGTCAAAAGATGGTGCTAAAGTATCATGATTACGCTTACACAAGTTTGTATATCTGCAACCTTGAGCCTACAAGAACATTTAGAAACCTACCCTGAAACCTTCTAGAACATTCTAAAACCTACTAAGGCATTTTTCAAAAAAATCTGAAACTTACCTTTATATTCTATTTTCTTAAGAACATTCTGAAAATCACCAAAAAAATTTTGGAAGCAAGAACAATCTGGTGAAGGATCTGGAAACACTCTGAAAACTTCACCCAAGAATAATGTTTTTGAAGGTTCCAGAAAAATCCTAATCTAGAAAAAAAACACAAAAAAAAATGCCATTCAATTGAGAGATTTTCTGGAAACACTTTTTCATTCTATTTAGAGCACCTTTTGTGACTTTTACATATTCAAAATTATTTTACTGGAATCTGAAACATTTCTCTCATATATCTCAACTATTGCATATCAAGTAGTGATAATGTAGTAGTGATTATCAAGTAGTATACTTATCAAGTAGTGAACCAGGCAAAAGCAATCTATGGTTTCTTTTAAATTTGTAAAAAGATGAGATGCTTATGACAAAAAAGTGTTTTTCCACAATGAATGGACAAAAAAGCATTCTGGAAAAACTTTCATAGAAGCAAATCTTCAAATTAAGAAACAAGAATTCAAAAAAAAAGGTTAATTGAGACTTTTCTGCTGACGAGGTAATCAAAACAATTCAAAGTAATTAAAGGTGTGCTGCCTCGAGTAGGAAAATATTAAATTGTTGGTGGATCAAAAATCAACCAACAAGATGTACTTGTAAACAGGAACTAACAAGAAGTATTCATAGAGTATTCAGAGGAGATAGTCAGAAATAAACAACCTTTTTTTTATTTATCACCAAATTGGCCAAGCTCTTTCTCTTTTTATTCCTTGGTCAATGCTGTTATTGTTAAAAAATGCATACTACACCAAATTTGACAATTTTTTCTAACGACACTTGAACCACTTTTTTTTTTTACAATACTGACCCTGATAAAAGTTTATTTCTTTGCATTTGATGGAAATGGTAAGGCATGGACTATTGTTCTTAATACATCATAGGCTTTTTTTTAAGTCTTGCATGTTTGTCGAAAAATACCTTTGTATGTGTATTTGAGGAAGTTTAAAACTATTGAATTATTTCTTTCCAATCTTAGTATTAAAGTTGGCGTCATCTATAGTTTACCTGATATCTTACCTCTAAAGTGGCTTGATTTATTTTCATATCTTTATATAGTGGCTCAATTATTTTTTAATTCCCAACTTAGTGGTTGCTTGCAGCTTTTTTGAGAATCTGTTTAAAAATAATAACTATTTAGTTGTCTAATTAAGAAATAACTTAGGAATATTTACTTGATGAAGAGACTTGTTTATTAAGGAAATTTTAAAACTTCTTGACAGTGTTATAAAAATAAATTTACTATGCTACCTTCAATACAATAGTCTAATTGCAACTTCAATGCGTATCACACCAAATGACTTTTTTCTAACAATAATGACTCTTCTGGAACTAAATCTTGTATCTTCTGTACTTCTTAATCTCTAACTCAGATTGTTAACCTTGTGATTCTTTTTCAAGATAATCCTAATCAGCCTTTACTCCTTGGTTTGTGTCTATGGCTCTAGCTTGTGCTAAGTTTCTCTTTATTTTCCTTTAGGTGGTTCAAGTCATACCTATTATTTTCCTTTAGGTAGTTTACACTAAGAAATAATCTCTAATTCTTATATCTTGTAAATCTTCTTAAGAAGATAAGGTGATAAGGTGAGGTCTTACTTCTTGAGGATTCAACTTATCATCGTACTGACCTGGATTTTTTTTTTAATTTTAAATGCACATTCTTTATAATCTCCTAGATCCAGACAGGTGTGGAAGCTTTTATTCCTTCTAATTTGTTTTAAGTCATGGCCCATGGTTTTCATCTTTTTGTGAAGCAACTATTTGTATTTTTTTTTTTTTTTTTTTTTTTTCTTTAATAAGATCAACTATCTTGAGAACAATTGTCTTTTTATTATTGCAAAAAATCAGAAGTTCTTAAGTTAATGTGCATTTGATAGATGTGGTGAGACATAGGCTTTTGTTTATTAGGCATCATAGGTTGATAAAGTCTTTTGATAAAGTCTAGCATGTTGGTCTTTTTTATGAAATAGCTTTAGATCGTGTATCTAAGGATGTTTAAAACAATTAAGTTATTCCTTTCAAATCTTAGTTTATCCTTGATAGACTTTCATTTTCAATAATTTATGAGGCGCCATCTATATTATTGGTTTTCTAATAATCTTACCTCTAAAGTGGCTTTATTTATATTATCAATACATAGGCGGCTCTTTATTTTTTAATTCCCAACTTAGTAGTTGCTTGCAGCCTTGTTGGGAGTGAATTTGTTAAAAAAAAAATTTTATTTTGTTATCCAATTCAAAAATTATTTAAGAATATTAAGTTGATTCTTTGACCATGTCATTAATAAAGATATTTCTACCATACTATCTTTAATGCAATAGCCTAATCTTATTACATCTCTAAGAGATAAAACAGAACTATTTGTAAAGACTTTTTTATGTAGTTCATTGTCCTTCATTTTGAATATCCACACTCCTCCTTTTTTATGTAATTCATTTGTCCTTCATTTTGAATATCCACACTCCTCCTGCCATTTTAGTTAAACAGATTAACTTACTGTAAGGTATATTTTTCACTTTAGCTTCTGTTGTTAAAGTCATTTCGCAATTAAACTCATCTCCAGACAACTTTCTTGTCATAACCGTACACAAGTATTCTCGCTATTTTTAATTCTCTCTAAGATATTTAAAAAGTGCTAGACTGACTTTTATTTTTCTACCTGCTAGAAAATAGCAGCTGTGGTTCTATTTTTTAAAACCTCTGGAGCACTCTCTGACCCCATAACTCTTCCACTAATTTTTACATTCCCATATTGATTAATGGCAACCCTTTAACTAAGTCTTTGACTTTACATTTTCTTTGGTTATCATTCACAACTAATCTCTTATGAAAATCATATATGCAGAGTTATCAAAGTTATTGCAGAGTTCTGCTAAAGTTGCTCCTATTTATTATACTCTCCATATTCTTACTTCCTATTCCATTCTCCAGATTCCATTCTCTACCTCAACAAATCTCATATTTATTCCTTTACTGTTGTCATAAATGGACTGGTTCTTCTAACGATGTTCTTTCTTTTCTATAAAACGTTCTAAAATGCATTGTAAATGTAGTTGAGCCTGCTCTAATTATCGTGCTTAAGGCACTGAACCATTGTTGCAGGATTGTGTCTCTTTTATTTTCTACTATTGTGTTTGCTTCTCAAACTAGCTATTCTCTCTATCTAACAAAACTCGATTTTGCTTGAATGATCATTTAATATAGTCGCATGTCTTTTCTGTATGTGTCTATAAAAAAATTTTATTTATTTAGTTTCATTCCTTGAAGCTTTTGAACATTTTCCCAAATTCATGTTTTCTTAGCTTATATAACTTACTACTTTTAATATCTTTTGTCAATTGTTTTCTTGCTTTTTAGCAATGTTCTCTTTTCATTAGTTACTCCTAACCTAATAGTGGTTGCTTGCAGTCTTGTTTGGAGTGAATTAATATTAAAAAAAGAAGGGTTACTTGCACAAATGCTTCCAATGCTCAAATCAATCAATCTTTTTTTTTGCCTTTTTAAATATCTTCACTGCCAACAAGGCTGCAAGCAACCACTATTAGAGTTAGAAGTTACTGGGAGAGAAAAGATTACCTTTATAAAGCAAGATAATGACTAACAGACAACTTAAAAGATTGCAAGTTATATGAATCAGGAAAATAAGAAAAGGGGGTAAATTTCAAAGAACTGATCTTTGAGGAAAAAACTAGAAGAATAAGATTTTTCTGAGCTCTTAGTAACAGTTATAGTAAAAGAATGAGACTTAATTGAATGACAAGTAACACAAGAATAAATTTTAGTAGGTAGTACAAAAGATGTTAGCTCTTTAAAACAGTGCCTAATATCCTATTTATATAAAAAAGAAAGAGAAGCAAAATTAGGACAATGTGACAATGGTTGAAGGTTGGCTTCAAGAACAGGTCCCAATATGTTTAAAAATGTGTTTTTGGACCTTGTCTAAAAGAGAAAAGGTATCATTCAAAGATCTGCTCCAGATATGGCAACAGTATTACATATGAAGATAGAACTGAGATTTATAGAGATAAAGAATAGAATAAGAAAATAAAAAAAGTGACAAGTATGATAAAGAGATGCAACCTTAGCAGATGCAAATTTTGCAGTTAAAGTTCATCAGCCACTGAGAGCCCCATTTTATTAGCGATCTCACAATTTTTAAGGACTAAATTAACAAAGAGTTTTGATAAAGACCTAGTATCTTAGAGCGTGAGTTTTAGAAATTAATGATTCAACTTGGCTCTATCAATCACCAGATCAATGGGAAAACAAACAGTGCTTTCAGAAAATCAAATCAATTTTTTCAGAAAATCTGTTTTTTGATTTTTTGTTGCATATGATCTACATATGATTTGTTTAATAGTTCTTTAAAATGGCATATTTGCATCAACTTTTTTTAATAGAATGAAATAATTTGTGATTTAAAAGTTATATATATAGTATAAAACTTTAGATGCATAGGAGACCGGGCTCGGGGTGGGGAGAGAAGACATTTGACTTAATTAGAAAAATAAAATTTCACACTAAACATCACAGTGGTAATATTTTGATCATAGAAATTCTGAGCAACTTTGCATTATTTGACTAAGTTTATTCATCAAATTTTATTTAAATTTGAAAAGTTGGTAAAAAACTTTTATTTAGACTACATCTACAATCAAGAAGAATTTAGCCCTACACCAGGCTTATTACTTGGTACACTCAATGTTTTGAAGAAAGTGTACACTGTGTCTTTTAACATTAAACCAACAAAATACACTAAAGGTTTAAAAAATATCCTTCACGTAACTTTAGGTAAGGTTTTTGGTAGTTATGGTAATAGAAATCCAGGTGTTTGGTTTCATGAAGATGGTTCTGGAAAGCTTGTTGTTTTTGCTGCAGTGAATGGTGATGCAAGTTATTACATTGTAACTCCACCTCTTAAATTAAACCAATGGTCTTCTGTTAAAATACATCAAAGTTTAATAAAAAATAGATATTGGTTTTTTGTCAATCTAAATGGAATGTATATTCATAAAGTAGAAAATTCTGATGCTAGAGATTTTAAAAATATGAAAGTGTATGCTTCAGATAGTTGGTATGATGCTCAAGATGGTTCAATTAGTGACTTATTTATCACCAATGGAAAAGTTGGTAAGAATTAATTAAAATTTTTAATAATTTTTTTAAATTTTTATTTATTAAATATATATATATATATATATATATATATATATATATATATATATATATATATATATATATATATATATGTATATATATATATATATATATATATATATATATATATATATATATATATATGATATATATATATATATATATATATCTGTGTGTGTGTGTTTGTGTATATATATTCTTTTACTGTAGAGTATCTTGGCAATATCCTAAACTGTGTGTAGATTTAGCTGGCAATATCCTAAACTGTGTGTTTGTGTGTATATATACATATATACATATATATATATATTTATATATATATATATATATATATATATATATATATATATATATATATATATATATATATATATATATATATATATATGTATAATATTTTTTGCTTTAGAGTATCTTGTTGGCAATATCTTAACTTCATTAGTTAATGGAAAAATAATTGCACAGATACCAAAGCTTGATAAAGAGTATTTGATTTCAATTGATATCTGTCCTAATAATAGGTTTGTTCCTTATTGGCAAAATGTGATGAGTTTTGTTACTGGTGCCAATAATTTAAATAACAACTGGTATTTAATTCATTACATCTTTTTTCATAAAGATGGTGATGGAAAACTTCAAATTGGAATTCCAACTAATGGCGACTTTTATCAATATTACAAAACAAGACCTGTTAGATTATATGTGTGTACAAACATAATAGTAAGCCAAAAATTTAATGGCTTAGTTTATGTATTCAGAATTAATATGAATGGTGAGGTTATTTTTTCTCAAACAAACAACCTATCTCAAAGCTTTGACAATATTGCTGTATATACATCAGATCCGAATTATGAAGCTGCAACTAGTTTAATCAAAAACTTTTTTTTAATCAATGGCTTTTCCAGTAAGTTATTATAAATTTTTTACTAAAAATGTAATAGCAATTTCAAAAATTGTTACAGATTCTTTATATTTAACAAGGTTGTACTTTTAATATAAAATAATATAATTTATATTGGTTTTAAATTTTAAAAGACATCATTAAAGAGTATAATATATAATTAAATAAAAACTTCTATTATGGATGTAACTCTTTATTTTTTGAATTAATATTTATACAATATTTCAAGGGAGTATAGTTACCCTTGTTATCAAGTATAATAAATAGATATCTATAAAACCGTTAAAAACAAAACAAAAAAAAATTGATGCAATAGTTTCTTTTGATTAAATTATTGAAACATAGGTTTCCAAAAGATAGTTGTTATGTAACCTCCGTCATCCTGATACAGACTGCTGTTTGAAGGTGCACATTTATGGTGTTGTATTTGAACGGCTTGCCTCACTTTTCTGTTAAAATTGTTGACCTCTACTTTCAAAGTATTTTTATTGTTCCATGTAAAATTACCATGACAATTTTTTGAATCCTCTGCTATTGCTGAATAATCCCACATTTTTTATGTACATTTTTTTGATGTTGGTGAATATGAGATGAAATTTTTAAATTTGTTTCACTGATATAACATTTTTATGATGTTTTTATAGAAAATGTTTATAAAAAAACAAGCCTGAAAAATATTATAAAAACCACTAAAGAAAATTTACATAACAAAAAGCAAAATATTGAAACTCAACATTTATCAATTTCATCAAAAATTATTTTATCTTTACCGTGAATTCTAGTAATTAGCCCAAAGTTAAAAAATGTTTTCAAAAAAGCAGGTTACACGTCAGTTTTTAAATCACCAAAAGATTTACAAAATATACTTACCAAAAAAAATAAACCACCTCTTCCTATAAATTCTTACCCAGATACAAACTTGAATGCTTCTGCAAAAAATGTTATATTGGTGAAACAAAATTAAAATTTTCATTTCGCATATACCAACATCAAAAAATACATATAAAGGAAAATTGGATTATTCAGCAATAGCGGAGCATTCAATAAAACGTAATTTTAATTTTACATAGAACAATCAGAATACTTTAAAAGTAAAGAAAAAAGAGAAAACAAGTGAGAGTTTTAACAAAAAAGTGAGGCAAGCCCTTGAAATACAACACCATAAATATGCACCTTCAGATGGCATTCTGAATCAGGATGATGGAAGTTATGTTGCAACTTCCTTTTGGAAACCTATGTTTCGATGTTTGAACCAAAAGAAACTATTGCATTGATTTGTTTTTGTTTTTGTTTTTGTTTTGTTTTTAATAGTTTTATATATATGTATATGTTATACTTGATAACAAGGGTATCTTCACTCCCTTGAAATATTGTATAAAAATTAATTCAAAAAATAAAGAGTTCATAATAGAAGTTTTTATTTAGTTTAAGTTGGTGTATAACCACATTTAAACTGTAAAAGATATTTACAATTATTTAAGCGGCAGTTAAAAAAATCTATCAATATTAAAATTAGTTATTTGATTTATTTTGTTAGATAGTGAAATGCAACCTGTTGTTCTTCTTCCAGCAGGTATTAGAAACAATTTTTTTTTTTTAATAAAAACAACTTTATTTTTTTTTACAACAAAAACATTTTTTAAATGATATGAATGTTTCTCTTGCATTAATTCATTTTTTTGGACTAAATATTTAACATGATTATATTTTGAACTTTTATTTATATATTTTTTATGAGAAACTTATATTCATGCCTGCATTTAGAAATCAATTTTGATTTTTTTTTTTTTTTTTTTTCTGTTTTATAACAATAGAATTTTACAACTTCATGCTTCATAAAAAAAAAAGTAAGTAAAAACAGATAGAGCTCAAAGAAGATGAGGATGACAGTACGCCATCGCAATCTTTTCATAGAGCCCCTTCAATAAAATTTCAATAAAAATCGTATTACGCAATACGTAATAAAATTTCATAAAACATTTCGTAAAATATATAAGTAATAAAATTTCAATTAAATCGTAGTAAATATTGTAATAAAATGCGTAATTCGCTAAGAAGATTGTTAAACAACAACAAGAACAAAAAAAAGTAGAGTGGTAACATTAACTAAAAAAGTTTCTTAAATTTTAAAAGTTTCTTTTTTTGTTATAAACTTGAATGAACTTAACAAATTTACCGTACCTTTGAATCCTTTTTGAAAGGTATTCCATACTTTAGGACCTCAATATGAAATGCAATATTCTGAGTATTTATTTATTATCCGAGGCAGTTTATATGTGTTCAACATATTTGCTCTAAGATTATAGTTGTCATTTTTATTTAATTTAAACTTGTTATTAAAGCTTATAGGAGAGATATTGTAATTGTAACGATACATGAAAATTAAATGCTGATAGACATTTATTTGAAACACATTCATTATTTTCATATCACTCATTAAGGGTTTAGCATGTTCACGCCTATCCTTATAGTAAATGATTCTGCAAGCATGTTTTTGCAAACTATACAGTTTTTTAAGCTTTGATGTTTGAGTACTTGCCCATGAAATGTTTGCATAGCTGATGAAGCTATGTATTAGCCCAAAGTAGATTAATTTCAGACTTTGTGTATTGATGTAAGAGCGAACTCGATACATCAAACCTATGATTTTAGTGATTTTTGACTGGATGTATATTATATGAGGAACCCAGGAAAAATTTTCATCAACAATGATTCCTAAGAATTTTATATTGGATTGCTTTTTAATTAATTTAACATTTAGGAATAGTTTAGACAATTTGAGAGGAAGATTTTCCTCTTGTTTTTTTTTTATGGAATAGTATATAATTTGTTTTCTCAGCATTAAGTGAGAGTTTGTTAGCTTTAAACCAGTTGCTTACTTTAACTAGTTCTATATTCATGTCAGCATATAATGTTTTGATATCATTGTTGGTAAGAAATAGATTCATGTCATCTGCAAACATGACTGAATTTAGTTTTAAGGTTGCATTACAGAAGTCATTTTTATGTATAAGAAAAAGGAGTGGACCAAGAATTGATCCCTGCGGGGCTCCACACAAAACATTTAATACTCCAGAGTGGACATTATGTACATATTGTTTTCTGTTGGTAAGATAGCTTTTAATCCAATAATAGGTTTTATTAACTATTCCGTAATGTCTTATTTTATCTAAGAGAATGCAATAATCCACTGTATCAAATGCTTTTGATAAATCAAGAAATACTCCTAAAGTAAGCTTATTATTTTCAAAACCATTAGTTATTTGATTTACTATTTCAATAATTGCATGCTCAGTTGAAAGATTTTTTTGAAAGCCAAACTGATTTGGGTAAAAAAAATTGTTTTTAATAAAGTAATCATAGTTTCTATTATAAACTACACATTCAAAGAGTTTTGAAAATACATAAAGTATTGATATGGGTCTGTAGTTTGTAATGTCAGAATGATCATTACATTTGTATAAAGGAGTTACTTTTGCTAATTTAAGTACATCCGGAAAAATTCCAGAATTTAACAAGAGTTTTAGTATATGTATCAGAGGTCTATTAAGACTGTGTTTGTTTGCAATAATTATATCACTAGGTATCTCATCAAATCCTGGTGCTTTTTTTTTTTTTAAAGAAACAAAAGCTGCCTCAAATTTGTCATAGCTTAATTCGCAATCATGCATTATAACGTTATTCGTGGGTTTAAGATTTTTAAGTTTTTAAAAGATTCAGGTGTTGTATTATTTTTTTGACAAGGTTCCGAATAATACTAATAAAATATTTATTAAATTCATCCGAGATGGATTTTTGACAAAATATATCGTTGTTATCAATAACAATTCATTTAGGTAGTGAAGGTGAATTTAGTTTTTCTCTTCCCATTATTGCATTAAGGATGGACCATGTTTTTTTGCTATCAAATTTACATTTGTTAATTTGATTACTGTAACATTTTTTTTTGGCATTTTTAATGAGATCTTGATAAAAATATTTATAACTTTTGTAATTTTTTTCATTATTATTGTTTTTATTTTTCAGAATTTTATTGTAAAGTTTTTGCTTTTTTTTTGAGCACTTTAATAATGATTTATCCATCCACGGATTAGCCAGAGCTTTTGACTTAATTTTTATAATCTCTTGCGGACAGGTTTCATTAAATACTCCAAAAATATACTTAAAAAAGCATTGTAAGCTTCATTAGTATCTTGACATTTATATACGTTGTTCCAAGTTTCTTGTTTTAGCTTACTTGTTAACTTATCAGTGTTACTCATTTTTAAATTTCGTTTTTTCAAATGTATGGTTTTAGATTGACAGTCAGACTTAGATTTATAGTTTTTTATTTTTAAGAATATCGGGAAATGATTGCTTATATCTGCCTTAAATATACCGGTTTCGAATGTCGTTTCTAAATAATTGTTAATTAAAATATTGTCTATTGCTGTTGCCGAAATTTTTGTTATTAGCGTTGGTTTATTAATAGTTGACAAGACATTTAACTTAAAAAGCATATCAAAAAAAGATTTTAATTCTAGAAATTTAGTGTTAGATAAAACATCAAGATTTATGTCACAAGTAATATATAATGTTTTATTTTCTTTATTTATTTTCATAATTATATTTTTGATAAAAGTTTCAAAGTTTTTTATTTTCCCACTCGGTGGTCAATAAACACATCTAATTAAAATATTTCGGTATTTTTTATTAATAATTTCAATGAAGAGACTTTCATAATTATTATTTGAAAAGCATAATATGTTTTTTATTTTAAAAACATACTTTTCTAAAACATAAATTCCTTTCTCGTGATTGACTAATTAGTTTGTAAAATGGTAAAATATAATTAGAATTTGATTCAAGAGAACTGTATTATACCATGTCTCTGAAAGAGATATGACATCGAATGTGTAGTTTAAAATATTTAAAAATTCTTTAAGTTTATCAAAATTTTGCAAGAAAATTAGCAATCATCTTTTAACACTTTAAAATCAAAAGGATCAATATACCGTGCATTAATTAAGTTTATTTGAGTTTCTTGAAAAATATTTCTGTTTTCTTGAGATAGGTTATTTATAAAGTTGTCCTCAAAAAGATCTAAATTTAAATTGTTAAAGTCTAGTTTTTGTGAAAAAGGCGCCATTTTAATATTTTTTTATTTTTAATATATAGTTTAAAAATACTTAAAATAATATTATAAAAAAAAAAAAACTATATTCAAAATGCTTACTCGTTTACGCTTGTCGAATTAACATCTGTGTTGCGGGTGCTTCCTCGAAATTCATGCACAATAAGTTCGTTGTAAACAACTTTTGCGTAGTAGCCATTTTGATGATGTATCTTTGCTTTATCAAAAAGTTCTTTTCGAATTTTTCGCGTTGTAAAACTAAAATCTTCTTTTTTAAAGGAAAAATGTTGGTTCCTTTTATATTTATTGCTCTTTCCATGATTGTTTTCTTATCCTTATAATCACGTAGTTTTAAGACAATTGTTCGCTCTCGTTTTTCCTTAGCTATTCTCACTCGATGAGCCCGTTCAATAACAATATCTTTTTCAATACCAAGGTGTTATAACCTAATAGTAACAAGAACACAACATATAATATAATAACAACTCTTAGTAATAACTCAATATGTAATTTATTTATAACACCACACTACAAGTAAAGTTCTTGCTTCGTGTCTCTTAATATAATGTCCCCACCAAAATGGAAACTCACTTGCATGTTTCTTTATTCAACATAACCGTGAACCGCAATTACGCAATTACATCACAAGGTTTTTTTTAAATAGTTGTTTTACCTTTTTTTTTGTAATTTCCCAATCCTTTTCTTCGCTATTTTCTACAATGCCGTCAATTCTTAAATTGTTTCTTCTGTTACGGTCTTCGATATCCACACTTTTTAATTTTAACTCGATATTGTCAGAAGATATTTTACCCTGCATTTTTTGTACATTTCGTACATTTCGTTGTGAACTTTATTAATTTTTTCTTCAACTGCTTTAGCTTAATCATTAAACACATTGCCATCAAAGTTTAAGCCAGATTTCATTTCGTTAAGTTCTTGTCGAACGTCTTGTAAACTTGATTGAAAGTTATCAAACTTTTCATTTATGTTTAATAGCGATTCGCGGAAAAAGGATAAAATTGTTTCTTTTTGAATGTTTAGTACCTCTCTCATCATAGCGATTGAGACAAACTCTTCTGATTTAGACATACCAATTTAAAAATCAAAATCAAATTACGTAATAAAATTTTTTTTTTTTTTTTTCTTATTAACACAAATTCAACGTTTTGTGTTGATATTTTTTGTTTAATAAACATTCTTAATTCTCATGTGTAACTATTTTAAACTTTTCTTGTAGGTGTTATATGCTTTTTTTGGAAATATTATTATATGCAGGTGCTGTTTTAAGGATGGACCGATTCAATATAAAATTGTATATATATTTATCTTTCAATTTCCAAGTGTATTTTCATAGCATGGTGTCTTTTAAATACGTTTTTATTATCGCTGTTGACTAAAAAGATTGTATAATCAATTTAAGCTCTGAACATTTTTAAAAACGGTTTTGAACGATTTTTTATCTAAAATAAAATAAAAAAAGTTTTTTTTTTAAACAAAGAAAATTTTGATATTTTGTTTCAAAATGAGTTGTATAACATGTCAATACTATAATATTTATAAATTTTTGTTTAGACTTCATTGACTTAACAGAAGTATCAACTTTAACTCCAGGCTCATTAGTTGGAACGCTTAATGTTTTGATGAAGGTCTATACAATAGTTTTTTATGTGAAACCCATCATTTATACAGAAGGCTTAAAATATGTCCTTAGTTTAACATTGGGAAAGGACTTAAGCGAAAATAATCTATGTGTATGGTTTCGTGAAGATGGGTCTGGTAAACTAGTTTTTTTTTATGCAATTAATAGTAATGCTACATACTATATAGAAACAGCTCCCCTTACATTAGGTGAATGGTCATCTGTTAAAGTAAGTCAAGTTTTTTCTGAAAATAATTATTGGTGGTCTGTTGATTTGAATGGAACCAATATTTATAAAATTAAAATTTCTGGTGCTAAAGATTTTAAAAATATGAAAGTGTATGCTTCTGATCCTTGGAATGATGCTCAAAATGGTTTCATCACAAATCTTTTAATTGTCAATGGAAAGCTGGGTAAGAATTGTAATTTTTTGTTTTAATATACATTTTTTTGCATTATTATTACTGTTGGATTCATCAATTTAGGTTTCAGGAAATATGTTTTTTAGTCTGTTTTTATTTATATTAGTTTAAATCTTCTAAAAATAATGTATTTATTTTCTTAACATTTATTTATTTTCTTTTCTAGTAGCATTGTTTATATTATTATATTTATTTTTAATTTACTTTTTACCAATGAATTTTTTTACTTTTTTACATAACATTATTTAGTGCTAATTTTTTAACCAATTATTCTTGCTGTGCTGATTTTAACGATTTTTTTATATATGCATTCTACTTTTTTTATATATGTACACTTACTTATTTCTAAATCTTCTAAAAATAATGTTTTTTTTTTTTTTTTGAGATTTATTTATATATATTTATTTTGAAATTTACTTTTTACCAATAATTTTTTATTTTTTATCTTCATAACATTATTTAGTGCTAATTTTTTAACCAATTATTTTTGCTGTGCTGATTTTTAACCATTTTTTAATATATGTGCGCACTACTTAAAAATCCATTTATAAAGATAAGTGATTGACAAGTAATTTGTAAAAATAAGTCATTGAGAAGTTATTTGCAAAAATAAACTATCGACAAATTATTTTTCAAGATGTTTATTTTTATTGATTGATTTTAATATTAATCCAAATCAATATTCAAAGGCAATAAAAAACTTTGAATGATAAATATGTCCTGGTCATGATGTTTAACTAATTTAATGGTCAAGAAAAAAGAAAACTGTAATAAAAAAACATCTAATTTAATTGTGTGTGAAGAGCTTATAAACTTTTGATGGTAAGCCTATGAATTTATTCTTCAGCTAAGATCTTGTAAACCCTTTATAATATATCTAGTGCTAGTATAAATGCATCTGATTCTATGTTTATCAAATCAATTTTTATGACTAAAATTGATTTTTAAATATTTTTAAAAAACTTCAAAGTAAATAGCTCTTTTGAAAATGCTTTTGAATTAAATAAATCTATATATAAATATATAAATATAATTGTCGAACTTAATAATGGTGTTAGTAATGGCCCTTTCAACGGTGACACGGATCTCTTGGCAGCCATTGCAACCATAGTAATGGCAAGAAAGAGTGAGAATGAGCAGCACTTTTTTATAAGAAAATGTGAACAAAAGTGAAAATGTGAACAAAATAAAGAAAATGTGAACAAAAGTGTATGCAAATATCTAACTTATTTAATACTTCAAATTATGTAAAATGCTCAAACATCAGCATTTGCATTTTTGCAATTTCGCATTGCCGCAATACCTCTTTTCAAAATCTTTCTGCCATTTTATAGTCTTTTTTTTTTTTGTTAAATACTATTAAAATTTTAAATGTACCCAACACTTAGGTGGCCAAAGTGGTTAGCTAGCAGCTTTTTAGATGCAAAGAGCCATGGTTCAAGTCCTAGCAATGGCATTTTTTTTTTCTATTCTTTTTTAATTTTTTAAAATAAAAATTAAAACATTTTTAAAGTATTATGGATTTTATATTCATAACATATATAAAGATACTATAATAACATACATCATAACATATATAAAGATACTATAATAACATACATCATATAAACTTGTGTATTTGTTGTCTTTCAAGCATTTTTAAAGGATATATATATATATATATATACATATATATATATATATATATATATATATATATATATATATATATATATATATATATATATATATATATATATATACACATATATATATATATATATATATATATATATGTATATATATGTATATATATGTATATATATGTATATATATATATATATATATATATATATATATATATATATATATATATATATATATATATATATATGAGTTTGTTTGAGTTTGATATATTCAGTAATCAAATTTATACATTTAAACCGCAATAATGCCGTAACAATAATTAAAAAATATGTACATATACATATTTATATATTTAAATGTTAAATTATTATTATGATGAAGAGACTTTTCCAGGAGTCTCTATGCTGATTTAACAGTTTATCGAAATCCGATCTTTAAATGCATTTAAAGATGGAGCGTTTATAGGGTGCTGTGTTAGAGAATTCCAATGGACTGCAACTCGGTTTGTGAAAAAGTTTGATCTTTTCTTACATCCTCTTACGAATTGACGATCAAGCTGCTTGTCATGGTCGCGTAGGTTGTACACCTCACGCCCAATTAGTTGGTGCTGTGGGACCGTAAAATGAACTTCATCATAGTTGTTGAAAATTTTGAATTGTTCAATAATATCATCACGCAAACAACATTTTTTGAGGGTAGTTAGTTTGAGTACCTGCAGGCGCTTTATTTTATCAAAATGGCTGATAGATGATATTGTCTTTGTGACGCGATCTTGAACATCCTCAAGCAACTTAATGTCTGTATCGAGATACGAAGACCAGGCTTGAATGGCGAATTCTAGACGTGGCCAGACATAAGATATATAGAGTGTGCGCCACAAGGTTAAGTTTCTACTGAGGAAAGCATTTATTAGTTTTCCTAACATGCCATTGGCTGTGGATGCTGCTTTTTCAACTTGTGCTCTGACTTTCAGATTGTTTGATATGAGAACTCTAAGGTCACATTCAATAGTTGTAGTTGCAATAGTGTGGCGCATGCCATCAGTGGTTTCCATAGAGTAGTCATGTGATAAACGTTTATCAGGATGACCTGCATGCATCACTTTACATTTATCAATGTTAAAGTGCATGAGCCAATTTTTTGACCATGTAACCGCGTTATCAATATCTACCTGAAGCGTTGTGTTATCCGATGCCGCTTTTATGATCCCAATAATTTTGCTGTCATCAGTGTATAGATCATTAATAAACAAAATAAAAAGCGGTGGCCCCAAAACAGAAACCCTGCGGAACTCCACTTGTGACGTTCTTCCACTCAGAAATGTGTTCTCCCAAAACAACACCTTGCTTACGATTTTTTAGCCACATTTTAATCTAAAGTAGCAACTTTTTGTGAATGCCGTATGCTTTTAGTTTATGAAAAGAAGACGTTTGTGCGGGACTTTATAAAATGCCTTAGCAAAATCTGTGTAGATAATATCAGCACTGTAACCTTGATGCATAGCCTTGGTAAGTATGTCGCAAGCTTCGAGGAGGTTAGTCAGACATCCCAAAACCATGCTGATGCTTGGAGATTAGATTGTTTTCCACACAGTGCGCCATAACATGTTTGTGAATTATTTTTTCCATTACTTTGCACAGTATTGAGGTGAGACCGGTCGATAATTGTAGGCCTTAAGCTTGCTCCCTTTCTTAAAGATGGGAGTAATGTTTGATTATTTCCAATATTCAGGTACAGTACCAGACATTAAAGATTGTCTAAAAATAGAGTTCAGTGGTATTGCAAATGCTGCTGCTCGGTTATGTAATACACAAGGGTGGATTCCACCTACACTAATTGATTTAGTCTCTTCAAGATTGCTTAAATGATTTTGAACGTCTTCAATTGTGAACCAATTTTCATTAATTTTACATGTTGCTTGAGTACAATCGGGAAATGTTGGCATACTGCCATCAGGTTCAGTTTCAAAGACAGACTGAAAATAGTTATTAAGGGTGGAGCAAATTATGTTTTTATCTGTTGTAATAATTCCATTGTCAGTTTCGATTGAACGATGAGGATCTTTGACTTCTTGTTTACTTCTGACATACGCATGTACATTTTTTTGCTGAGATTTTGAATCTTTGACCAGGTTCTCCTCATGATCGGTTACCGCCTTATTTATAATCTTCTTAACTATTTAGAAGTTTTAAGTACTTCTGGCGTAATCCACAACAGTTGATTTTTAAAGAATGGTGAGGTTGTTTTTGGAATAAATTTATTGACTGCGTTGTTGTAGTATCTAACTAGAATCTTGTAATTTTCATGCACAGAGCTTTCATTAAAAGTTGTTATCCAATCTATAGATGATATGCAGGTTGATATGAAATTGTAGTCTGCTTTGCTCCAGATGAATCGTTTTTTCATCAGAGTAGTTGTTGTATTGTACCCGGGTAAAGCAAAGAGCCCGTGTATCATGCAATGTGCTTGACCTCCTGGTGTATTGCCTAGATGATCTGCTCTAGTGATTTTAATGGAGCGGTTTGGTTTGTCAGAGGTTATTAGGTCAAGCGTGCTACTAAAAGGGGCATCCCTATACTGTCGATATGTTGGAAATGTAACCAGTTGAGTAAGATAGCACTCATTGAGACATTCTTGGAATTTTAGATTGGTTGGGTGCTTGTGGGCTACATAGGCAATGGTTGCTACAGCACTTCCTTCTTCAATGAGTTTGTAAGACGTTTCTTTAAGATTAAAATCTCCATACAGAAGCATTGATGAACACCTAGTTTTTGACAAACATTTTTTGCTCTTAATATAGTAGCTAAAACAGAAACAAAGTAGTCATCATTGAAGTCGTGAGGGTGATAAATAGAACCAATGAGAATGACATCTTCCCTGATTTTGATCACACGCCATATTTGTTTAATTTCAGGCGAGTTAAGTTGGACAACATTAGTTTCTTCAGTAATGACACTATCTTTGATGTAGATGGCAACACCACCTCCTCTGCCGATTCTGTCTTTACGATGTAATTGATAACCGGCAATTGATATATCAGAATCGTTTGTGAACTAGGTTTCTGTAAACCATACGACGTGCAGTAACAGTGATGGATCTCTGATATTAGCTAGCCTGGCAAAAAGATCATTATGTTTATCTTTATTAAGTGAGCATGGATTATTGGCCCAGTAATAAAGTATATCAGAAAAATCGATAGTTGGTGGATCTCTAAGCAAAGCTTTATTATGTTGTTGGCTGTATTGTGAACGCAAAGTTCGATTAGGTTTTGGTCTTTTAGGTTTTAATGCTGTAGTTTTTAACATTTTTTGTCTGGCATAATTTTTTCATCAGAATTTAGTTCATTATAGGATAATTTTTGTTGATTTAGTATTGAGGATGGTATGATTTCGGTTAACCTAATATTACCAGGTACCTCCTTAGAGGAGCAACATGACAAATGTATTCTTGAGTTGTTTTTTTATCGTATTAGTTTTAACTGTATGATTTATTGGCGTGTACAGAAACCAGGTGGTGATGAACTGCTATTGGACAATTTTAATTTTCTTAACCTCAGTACCTCTAATACCAAAGTAGTGAGTACCAGTAAATTTGTTGTTCTCTCGCGGTATTACTTTGTTTAGATTGTTTCTTTTCGTAAGTAGCTCTTTCCTTAAACTGCTCTCTGCACTTGTTAAATCAGGTTGAATAAATACATTGTTAAAGTCTTTGCTTTTAGCTAAGTTCTTGGCGAGTTTTAAAATTTCTTTTCTTATTAAATTTCCATATACAATTTCGCCAATTAAAGGTGCAGGTTTTAGGGTACTGACAGATGTTTTAATAGTTTCATCTTCTTCATCCATGTTTGTTACGTTTTCCTTTTTTTGTACATGATGGTGATGTTGTTTCGGTCTTATTCAATAAGTTCTTGATATGGAGACATTAATATTTGGCGGTAGCTGCAGTTCACTTAAAAGATTGCAAACGAGATCTTAACCATCATTTTTTTTGTGTTCTTTTTCTGATTGTTATTTGCTATATGATCTTTTTCTGATTGAAATTTTGAAACTGCCATTAAACAGTTAGTTTCTTGTGCATTGAGTTTCCTTGATTTAACTATGTTGCTGAAAAGCAAAATTACAACATTACCTGGCTTCTTTGTTTCTATTGCTTCAATTCTTTCGCTTAGATCAATTATTTGCTTTTCTTGTATATCAAAAACCGCCTTGATAGCCTTGAACATAGATTTGATTGCTACTGCGAAGTGTTCTTGTTTTAAGACTGCAGCTTTTTGATTAGGGTCAGGTAGTGGAATTTCTGCCTTAGCACACAATTTGGTCATTAATTCGCCAAAATTGTCAAGATCCAACAAATCGGGTAACATTGCAGCAGTTGCCATTGGATGGTCCAAGCTGATATTGATTAATGGTGGGAGGGCTACCACACTAAATAAGAGTGGATTACCTCCCTGAAGTGAAATATTTATTGTATATATATATATATTATCTTATTACACAGGGACTAAAATGTTTCAGTATGTGTTTTTTTCCGATGTTTTTTTTGTATTTCTTGTAAACACAGTGTTGTAAACACATTGTAAACACAGAGCAAAAAAGTTTTGTTTTTTTCGTATGTATGAATATATATTTTTTATATGTTTTTATATGTTTTTTATATGCATGTATATATATATATATATATATATATATATATATATATATATATATATATATATATATATATATATATATATATATATATATATATATATATATATATATATATGAAATGTTTTTTCTTGTTGTCAACTTATTTTAATATTATATTATTTAATTTTTGATTTTCATTGCATCAAAAAATAAATGATGTATAAAGTTTTTTTTTATTTTTTTTTATACATATTTTTTTGAATAAATAAAAAGCAACTGTTATGAGGTTATGTCTCTATTTATATCACTTGTCCCACTTGAATTAAATTAAGTAAGTTAAAAGCTTGCACATGTAGTCTATAGTCTATAACATATAGTCTATAGTCTGTAACTTAAAAAGATTTAATATCCTTATATATTTTCTTTTTTTTAATGTTAATTCACCTCCCCAAGGCCATGAAGGGTACTACAGTTGAGGAGGCTATTTTAAAACCCTCTCTCAACTCTAACTCTATAACACAAATCTTGATAAACAAGGCTACTGCATGGAGAAACAAGTTGAGTATGGTACTACCTGGGATGTGGAAAGTATTGAACTTGGAACTTTCTGCTTATGAAGCCACCACTCTACTGCTATATCACTACCACATTTTATACCACTATACCACTACCAACCTCTTATATTTGTATGTATTCATGTAAACATTGATCACAACCTCTTAATATTGGTAAAATTTGTACCTAGCATAAAATGTTTAGATATCAAACCAAATGTTTTTTACCAATTTTAATTTTTAATCAATTTAACCTTATGAGGTTTAGTTATTTTTGGCCTTGGTTATACCTCTTTCAGTTTATTACTGTCATTTAAAAAATAATTTTAAGTTAGTACAGTTAATTATGACTTAGAAGGACTTACTAAACTATAATGCAGTTTCATCAAGATTTTAAAACAGTATGCAATAAGGTATTTTAAACAATCATTTTGTCAAAAAAGGAGGTAGTAAAATTTGAAAAATAGTAGTAGTAGGATTTTAGTAAAAACTATGAAGCCTGCATGATACCTGTTAACAGCTTTTAGGTGACCTTCAAGTTTGTTCTCAATAACATTTATTGATGATGCTAGTATAATTTTGTTTGGTTGTGCATTAGTCATAAATGCTAAAATGATTTAGAACTGATTTTATGTAAATTGGCACTCCTCCTTGATTGCCTGTTTCTGTGAATCTGAGTTTAGTTTTCTATATCTCTTTAATAATACTGAACCTAATAGTAGTAGTGCGCTTTCGAGCCTGTTTGACACGATACTCTTGGCAACCATTGCGTCCGAGGTAGTGACGAGAAAGAGTCTCACCTTTGCTTTATAAGAAAACGTGAGCAAACGTGAAACTTATATCGTACATACCTAGACTTCATGTTATGTAATGTTAAAACATGCTTAAACATATATCAAGTTCTACAGTTTGATTTTCACTTAAGAACTGCATTTCGTCAACCTCAGCTTGATTTCTAATCTTTTGCATTTATATCCGTTAAAAACAATTTTTATATAATTTTGAATCTTCATTACTTAATGTGTCAGCGTAATCGAGTGGTTAGCGCGCTGGGCTTTGGAACATAGCTGTCGTGGTTCGAGTCCTACCGTTAGCGACTACTGTTTTAATTTTTTTTAGATTCTTTTAAATACAAATTCAAATACTTATAATATTTTATAGATATTGTATATAGACAACATATGTAAAGATATTAATCAAAAGTTTGATCCTCGCATTTTGACGCAGAACCAACTTCGCTAACGAGAGAAAAAAAATCATTCACAAATTTCAAAATTTTGTTTTTTCGTGAAGTCTTTTAACACTTAGTTTCCAACTTTCTTGACATATTCCAAGTCTTTTTGAGAAAAAACTTTGTTGATCAAATATACAAATTCAGCTTTTTTGTATATGATAAATATCGCTGTGGTACAAAGTGCCAACCTAGGTTTTTTAAACAAAATGCCAATCGAGTTTTACTTCCACGCAGTTTTAATCACCACGAGGCTTAGTTAAATGCTTAGTTAAATACTTAAAAAAAGATAAAATTTAAGGCTTAAAAAAAGAATTTTTTACAAATTTTTTCTTACATCTCTTTAATCCTTGACTTTTGGATTTAGATTTATTACATTGATAGTAACATTATCATATTATTATTTTTAGATTATTACATTATTTGATATTTCTTTTAGAATTTAGATAAAAGCGACAAAAAAAGCGTCTCTCCCCTATCCTTTAGGATTTTAGAGTCACCATTAAATTTTGACATAAGTTGCAAGAAGTGTCTCGCAAATGCCATTTATGTTAAAGTTAGTGTTTAGGCAATCAATAAGTTTAATCTTCGTATCTAGGACATTAAAAGTTATCATTTAGATGTTTTCATTTGATTGAGATTTGCTTGCGTTATAAACCGGATAATAGTTCTTATGAACTGTAAGCACGCGGATAAAGTGTGCATCAATATCTAAAGACCCCTATTTTACGGGTCATGACAGCTAGTTAGGTATTAATTTTTGTTAAACTATGCCTCGAAGATTAATACAAGATTGACTTATCACCACAATATAGTTCTGATTTTTTTGACTTGTTTGATTTAGGGAGACGCATTTGTGTATATCCACTCTATTAATACTTTTTAATTTCTATGACTTCATTTGCTCACTGTTTTTACTCTTTTTCTGAGTGACTTTAATTTTTTTCTTTACTTTTTTTATTCTTTATATTAATCAAGATTTTTCTACTTTGTTTTATAAATTTCATTTTGATTATTTTTTCTGTATTATTTTCTTTGAATAATTTTTTTAATTTATTTTAAAATGACAAATACTGTTTTTTGTTAATTATTTTAAAATAATGTTTCAATGTTTTGAAGGAAAGAAGCAGTATTTATAAATATAGCACATTGTATAAATTTACATTTTTCAGTTTTGCTATCTTATTTCATACTTCTATTTCATACAAAATACCATTATTTTTAATTATTTTAGAGTGTCTTGTTGATCCAATTTCCACTTCATTAGTGCAAGGGAGGCTAATAGCAGAGATTCCAAAGCTTGATAAAGAATTTTTTATTTCATTTGATGTTAATCCCATTAAGTTTGTTCAAAGAAAACGCAGTGTTATTGATTTTTTTATTGGTTCTGATAATTATGCTCTTGGCATTTGGTTTCACGAAGATGGTGATGGGAAACTTTTGGTTTGTATTCCTGTTACTCGCTTTAAAGGTCACATAGGATACATGACTAATCCAGTTAGATTAAATATGTGGTTAAACATAAAGATATATCAATTTTTGAAAAATGCAGTTTATATATGCAAAATTAGTATAAATGGACGCGTTATCTATTCAGTTAATAACAACAAATCTCAAAGTTTTAATAATGTGAAAGTGTATGCTTCAAATCCATGGGATGAGGGTCAAGAAGGGATGATAAAAAACTTTTTTTTCATCAATGGAATTTCAAGTATGTTTTTTTTTTTTGAAAAAGTAAAATAGCTTTAACTTTTATTTAAAATGAATAATAAAATAACAAAAAATAAAATTAAAAAAAAAAAAAAAAATTATTTTTATAATTGGTATTAATAAAAATTTAAAACCACTTTATTTATTTATTTTCTTAGATAGCAGCTTGCAACCTGTTATTCTTCTTCCTGAAGGTACTTGAAACAAGAAGCTTAACTTTGATTAAAAAACAGTTTTTAACAGTTGTATTTTTAGTTATAACTTTATTATATATTTATATTTATTTATGTATTTTCTATTTCTTGTGTATATTTTATATATTCTAGCTTGTTATTTATTTATATTTTTAAAAGTATTTTATAAAATTAATATAGTACTTTTTTAACATAAATGCAGTATTTTAATACTAATAAGAATTATTTTTTTAACTAGTTTTATAATTTTTGATAACATAAAAATATTGTATTTTTATAAATATTTATATAAACATTTAGTAACTTAGATTTTAACTATAATACCTAAAAGTCTTTAAAATAAAAAATCATTTTAATACAAAATTATCTTTAATGTAAGTTTTCAATAAAATTTTTATAGCGTAATAATTGTGTTTGTGATACTTATTTGAATTATCTTCGGATAGCTATTATCATTTGATTTGTAAAAAGTTCATTTGCCACATGCTTGGCCTGGGTATATACTTACATATTAATTCATGCATATATTATAAAGTCAGGTTTGAATTCTCTGCTAGTTCTTTTATCTGCTTTTGTTTAGCAGTTCTTCACTCAATCACATTTTTCTTTGTTATTTGTTTTTCTCCTACCTCTTAAGATTGTTTTTTTTTTATGTTATTTTTAATTAAATTGACCGAGTCCTTTCTCTTTATCTATCAACTGAAATGTTGATAGATAAAATGTTGAAACTTTTTGATTTGTGTTTTATCTCTGATCATAGTTTGTGCTAAATTTCTTCTTGTTTTTTAGAGTTTTCACTAAGTTTTTTATTATGTACTACTTCTTCAGACTAACCGTATCATTTTTCTTTATACATTTATTATAACTGAGAATGATTCTAATAGTGTTCTCTTTATTGACTGTTTTTGGGTTGTTCAAATTTGGAGATGTTTAGGTTTTGGCTGTTTGTAGTGAGTCCTTTTTTACTGCAGTATGGAATAAGCGTAAGTCATGGGGTGAAACATAAGTGATGATGATGTTTGTCTGACAAGATAAACTAGTTATGCTGATCCTTTTCAAAACGCCAGTAATAATAGACTTCACTGAGGAGATATTTACTACTTAATCACTACACAAATTATGTTTACACATTAGTATTAAAGTTTTTTTTCCATTAGGCCTTGAATTGTTGTATCCATACTTTTTATTTTGCTGTCAATTTTTTGTTTTATAAGTTTTTGTTTGGTCATATACTTTTTGTAAATCTTTTTTTATTTTAAATGCTTATAAAAAAATTTATTTTTTTAAATTGTAAGTACTGTTTTGGCGCATTGTCTGTCTTGTCTTTACAATTTTTTTAAATTGTAAGTACTGTTTTGGCGCATTGTCTGTCTTGTCTTTACAATTTTTTTAAATTGTAAGTACTGTTTTGGCGCATTGTCTGTCTAATATATTTTTAAATATTAATCCTAATTTTTTTTATTCTTCTGTTAATTTTAATTTTTGTCTTGACAACCGTAAAAATATGGTTTTAAAAAAAATTCTAATCTACTTCATTTTTATCTCAGCATTCGCTTTTTATATATTTATACTTTTTTATATACTTTATTTTTATCTTTATTCTAATATACTTCATTTTTATCTCAGCATTCACTGCTTGTGTGTAATCATTCCACGAATTTATATGCCAAAAGTAAATTTTTTTTTCTTTTTTAACATCTTTGCTTCAAACAAGGCTGCAAGCAACCACTATTAGAGTTAGGAGTTACTGAAAGACAAAAGATATAGATTGTAGAGCAAGATAACGATTGACAGACAACTTAAAAGATTGCAAATTATCTGAATAAGTAAAGCAAGATGAAGTTCCAAAGAACTAATTTTCAAGGAAAAAAACTAGACAAATAAAAGTTTTTAGAGCATTTAGGAACAGTCATAGCAAAAGAATGATACTTAAGTGAATGACAAGTAACACGAGAATAAATTTAAGTAGATGACACACAAGACGCTAGCTCTTTAGAGTAGTGTCGATTATAGTATTTGTAGAAGAAAGAAAAAGAACCAACATTACAACGATGTGATAATGTTTGGAGGTTGGCTACAAGAGCAGGTCCAACTACGTTTACACTGCATTTTTGCACCTTGTCTAAAAGAGAAAGAGTATCATTATAAGATTCGTCTCAGGTATGGCAACAGCCTTATCATGACAAGAATAAATGGTAGTATCATCAGCTAAAAATGTCTGCTTAGATAAATAACTGAAAATATCTGGAAGATCATTAATGTAAATTAAAAAGAGTATAGAGCCAAGGATTGAACCTTGAGGATTCCCTGAAGTTACAGAATATGAAGAAGAGTGCTGTCAATCAAGGACAACTTTTATACTACAAATGGAAAGAAAGGATTCAATAATCTTAAAGATGTTACCAGATACACCGTATAAAGAAAGCTTATGGAGAAGACCAGCATGCCAAAATTTATCAAAAATTTTAGAAATATCAAGAGCAATTACCTTAACCTCCCCACCTTTATCTAATGCACAATAAAATCTATTGGTTATTACTGTTAGCAAATCAGCTATATTATTAGATTCAAGATGACAGATTGTGTGTTTGTTAATTAAAGATTCAAAAACCTTGCTTATGATAGGAAGAAGACTAATGGGACAGTAGTTAGACGAATCAGATTGCTCTCCAGATTTTTAAAAATAGGGAATTTAAAAATTGCTATCCAGTAGGAAAGCAAGACTCTGATAGACACTTTTTAAATAGTTTTAAAAGTATAGATGACAGCTCCAGATATCACTTCTGCAAAACTATAACAGGTATGCTGTCTAGACCACAAGCTGTAGATAAGTCTAAGCAGGACATCACTTTTGATACAGAAGCTGGAGTAATATGAATATCAACCTATGGATCAACCTGTTTGACTACTAAATCAGATCGAATGCAACTAGTGGAATTAAGAGATGATATTGATAAAAAGTTCTTAGCAAACAATTCAGCTTTGTCTTTAAGTGAGATGACAAAGTCTGAACCATAAAAGAGAGGTAAAATAATACATTTGCCTTTATTATTGATTTAGTTATTGAATTTCTAGAAGTCACAAGAGCCTAATTTTTGTGATGAAATACCAGATTTCATTACCTGAGAATAGTGGGCTTTGGCATTAAACAAAACCTTTTTACAATTGCTCCAAGCAGTAATAAACAGACATATGTTTTCTGTAGAACTATTTTGCTGGTAGAAATGGAAGTAATGGTTTTGATTGGAAATTGCAGCAGCACATTGTGAGGAAAACCATGGAGAAGTATGAGGCTTGATCTGAAATTGTTTTATAGGAATAAAAGATTCCATGCCAGCCTGAATCCAAGTTGTTATGTAAAAAGCACAATCAGCAGGAAGACAAAAGAAATCTACCCAAGGGCCATCACAAAGTAAATCATGGAAAAAGTGCCAATCATCTTTAAGGTTGTTGTAAGAGGTACAATGATAGGGGGATTCCAATAATGAAGAAGAATGAAATACTAATTTTAGAGTCAAAAATTGTGGAGAAACTGAGAACTGACTAGGATCAGAAACAAGACACAAGTCGAGTAGAGAAGGTAAATGATTCAGGTTGTCTAGAAAGCAAGTTGGAAAGTTGACTATTTGAGTTAGGGATTGAGACAGGCAAAAATTCTCGGCTTTAACACCAACAGAGTCACTGACACTAGGGCGAAGCCATTCAGTGTGATCAACACTAAATCCACCAACAACAACAATATTGGCTGATGGATAAAAAGAGAACGCTTGGTCAATTCAATCTAAAGTAACATTAAAAAGATTGCAGTAAGATAAAGGAGAGCAATATAAAACAAAGAGCAAAGCAATAAAGTGAAGTGGTGCTAAACAAAAGCACATAAAAGAATAGTCTGTGGATTTGGAATCTAGTTTCCCAACAAATGGGTGAATTCTTATGAATGTAAACCAAGCATGTGACTATTATAGTCTTTATAAATTAAAGAAAGATAACCATCAACACTATGATTACAAGATGAGACAGCTGAACTCAAATTAGTCTCACCAAGAGCAAGTAGGTCTGGTGAACTTTGCAAGAGATAAGACTCAACAGAAGAAAAGTTACTTCAAAGATAACTAATATTAGTGAGTGATAGGTTTAAAGAACTTGGTGATGTTGATGGTTTTTTGTGTTTTATAGTTTTAGGTACTTTATCCATTAATAAATAAATAATATTAGGTTGTGCACATAAGGGTTAGTGTTATGGTCATTGAGCACAATTATTATCACTATTATTGTCACTGCGGAGGAAGATGTTTGTCTCTGGAATATGCCCGGGCTAGTTTTTATAATCAGAAGTCAGTTATAAATTCATGCATAGGTGCTCAATCTCTCATAGTTTTCTGGAGTATGTCCGGGCTGGCTCGAAGTAGTTCAGAGATATATCTTTTACTTTAGTTACTAACAAACACTTGACTCTACTGAACAATATGAACAGCAGAAACTTACACATTGTACCTATACACCCATATGCGCATAAAACCTGTTTCATTGCTTTTCATGTTTTCTGTTCTTTTAATAATAAATCTTTGTTTGAACTCATTTTTTTTTTTAATAGATAGTATGTAGTTGGTATATAGATATGGATATGTATGTTATGTATATGTGGTAATCATGTGTGTTTGAGTTTTCATTTTGAGTTTAAGTTTTAGGATTTTTTTAAACAAGCAGCTTTGGATGTGTTTTGTTGTTGTATATTTTTTCGTGTTGTTTTATTAAAGTCACAAAAGTATGTTAATTCAGACCATAGAGAAAACTTTTATTTTGGTCTCAGAGTTATTTTGATTCGGATCATAGAGATAACTTTACTTCTAAACAATATTTTTTCCAACTTCTTACATCATTTTTATATCACCCTTTATATCATTGTTATATCATCTAAAAAAAAAAAAAAATTTACCACTCATTTGGCTTAAATTTATATAGTCACATTACATTACTTAGTTATTTTTTTCTTGTGAAACTGCTACTCCTAATAATATTCATTTTTTTCAATTTTTTTAAAAGTGAAACTTTCTTGTATGTAAGCCTCTTTTTATTATTTCAGGAAATCAATGCAAAAAGGTGCTGTCTGACACTAAGCTTCTTTTTTTCTCAGTTAACTAAACTTTGTATTTTATCTCAAAAATTAGGTTAGAGAGACTTTTGGAAAATCTTTAACAGTGTCAGTTATAAAGGCAAGTCTAATATTCCATCTTTATTACATGGGTTTGATTTTACTACCTTTCCCAAGAATAAGGTAGAACTATTTGCTTAGAACTTTCTCTTTTATTCATGCTTTGAATTTAATTGTCACAATTTCTATTATCTAAGAGAAACAGATCAATTATGTGCAGCAAGGCAAGGGTTGTTTTTGTTTACAATATGAATTGTATAAATACTTTCTTTTTCTAAAACTAAATGTGGTTTTCTAGTTAAAGTTGTTCATGCAAATATACATTTATGTATTTATCTTATCTACAATAGAAAATGGACAATTAACACAAACATTTCTTTAAAAATTTTGTTGATATGAATAATTTTTTTTTAAGTTAATATATGAATAATAATATTTAGTAGAATAGTTTTTCAATTTTGTTGAATTAAAAGAAATTTTAAGCTTAATGAATTTTGATTTTAGATTTTATCAATCAAAGAAAAGAATTAATTTTGAATAGAGGTGTATTTCTCGGAACTGTTATTACGCTAATGAAGGTATATAGTGTGTCTTTTAATATAAAGCCATTAAGTTATAAAAGAGGTTTTAATAGTGTTGTTCATTTGACTTTGGGAAATGATTTTGGAGCTTATGGTGATAGAAATCCAGGTGTTTGGTTTCATGAAAATGCCTCTGGTTGTCTAGTCATTTGTGCAGCAGTAAATGGTAATGCTTCATATTGTATTGAAACATCTCCTCTTATCTTAAATAAATGGTCTTCTGTTAAAATTTATCAAAGTATGCAAGGTGATAAGTATTGGTTTTCTGTCGATTTAAATGAAGTCAATATTCATAGAGTGGAAAATTCTGATGCTAAAGATTTTAAAAATATGAAAGTGTATGCTTCTGATCCTTGGCATGATGCTCAAAATGGTTCCATCGCAAATCTTTTGATTGTGAATGGAAAAGTAGGTAAGAGAGTGGATAAAAAATTAATAGATATAAAAATAAGTGTATCAAAAATTTTTCTCATAAAAAATGTTAAAAAAATTTTACTTAAATCTAAACAAAATTTTCTGATTTACTTAAATCAAAACAAAATGTTTTTGAAATGATTATTTAATTTTGCTAATTTTAAGATCCAATTTGATTAGCAAGAGCAACTTTTGTTAGTTTTTAAAGATTCATCACAAAAACAATATTTGTCATGTTATTATTATTTATCATTTAACATATATTTTAATTATGAATCTGAATGTTTTACAGGTTAAACTTACTTGGTTAAATTTATGCTTTTGTACTATATTTGTCTTAGATTATCTTGTTGATGATGTACCTGCTTTATTAATAAAAGGAAAAATTCTTGGTGTGATACCAAAGCTTGAAAAAGAATTTTTGATTTCATTTGATGTTTATCCTAGTATGTTTGACTCTGGATGGCATAATCTTATTCATTTTACTATTGGTTCAGACAATGATCGTTATGGAGATAGGGTTCCTTCTATTTCTTTTTTTGAAAATGGAAATCTGCAAGTTGCGTCTTCAATTAATGGTTACAAAAATTGGTATTTTAATACAGAACCTGTTGAATTAAATAAATGGACAAACATTGAAGTAAGTCAAATTTATAAAGACTCATTTTATTTATACACAATCAGAATAAATGGAATGGTAGTCTATTCTGTTAACAACAACCAATCTGAGAGTTTTGAGGATGTGAAGATATATGCATCAGATCCGTGGTCTAAAGTTTATAATGGTTCAATCAAAAACTTTTTTGTCATCAATGGCTTTTCAAGTAACTTTTGAAGTTTTTATAAGAAAAAAGTTGTTTTAGAAAAGTTAAGCAGATGTTATTATCAGGCATAACTTTTTTATATGTTAATAATAATATAATATATAATAAATAATTTTTTATTTCACACATTTGATATTAAATACATACTATGAAGTCTGCAGATTTTATCTGTTGTTTATTTAGTAGATTTTTTTGGGGCAAAGTTAATTATTCTTTCATTGCTAAATTGCTAGGCTATTCTGAAAGATTTCTAGAAAAATATTGCTTTTTTGTATTTTTACTCACCCCTAGTGAAATTATAACAAATTTTTTAAAACTAAAGATTTTTAAAATCTAGCTTCAAAAATTAAATTATTTAAAAAAGACCTATAAATAATATTGAAATTATAATAAATTTTTTGAATTTAAGAATAGTTTTTTTAAAACTAGCATGGAATCAGAAATAAATCAACAACAATTCAAAGAACAATTTCATATGATTGAAATTTTACCAAAATATGTTTCAGTTACATTACTTTCAATTAACACCTTTTTTGATTTTGATTTTTCATAACTCCTGTTTTATAAGTTTATAATATTATTTAATTATACTTGACAATTTTTTTTTTCCTGTTTCAAAAAAGACCACTCTCCAGTTCTTTTTAACAATTTTAACAGGTCTTCAAAAACTATTCAGGATAAAATCTAAAAATCAAGCTATGTATAGATTGATTTTTAGATTTTATCCTGCAAAGTATAAGATTTTGAGTTTAGATTTTATCCTGAATAGTATAATCTGAGACTTAGGATTGCATATCCTGGATATTTTCAGATAGAATTGTTCTCTCTTTTTTTAAAATTGTAGTTACATTCAACATTGTCCTTATTTAATGTATTTGGAATTTTGCACTTCAATGTTTTGAGTGTAAGTGGCTCAGCAAAAGCAATGGAGCAATTTTTTAACACTTGATCAAAAAGCCTATTGCTTATAATTTTTTTTTTTTACGTTTTATCATGCATTAAATAGATGTGGAGAGGTTAGGGTATCAATCTCAAAATTTATAAAACCTTTGATAAAGTTTGGCAAGCTGGTCTTCTCGATAGGCTCTTTTCTTATGGTTAAATCATATTGCAACAATCTAGATCTTCCTACATTTATGAATGGTAATGTACTTGATGAGGCGCCTACCATTAGTCTTCTAGGATTAACTCTTACAATTTTTCTTGGAAATTATATATTAAATGCATTGCAAAATTAGCATTTGCTAAGGTTGCATCTCTTTATTGTGATCTCAACTTTCTTTCTTCAGATTCTTTTCTTTAACTCTATAAATCTCAAATCCATCCTTATATGGAATACTGTTGCCATACCTGGAGCAGATCTCTAAATGATGCCCTTTTCTCCTTTAGATAAGGTGAAAAAATGCATTGTAAACATATTTGGAGCTGCTCTTACAGCCAATTTTTAACCATTGTCACATTGTTGCAATATGCTTCTCTTTCTCTTTTCTATAAACACTATAATGGGTGCTGCTTTAAAGAGCTAGCCTCTCTTATTCGACCTCTTAAAATTTGTTCTTGTGTTAACCACCATTCAATTAAATCTCTTCTTTTTACTGTGACTGTTCCTAAATGCTCCAAAATTTTTTATTTCTCTAATTTTTTTCCTTTAACATCAGTTCTCTGGAATTTGTTACTTTTATCTTGTTTTCCTGGTTCATATAATTTGGGATCTTTTAAGATGTCTTTTAATCGTTATTTTACTTTATAAATTTCTTTTTTTCTCTTCCACTAACTTCCAACTCTAATAGAGGTTGCTTACATTTTTGTTAGAAGTGATTTTTTTTTTAATTTACATTCAAGTAATTTTTTGAGTTTTTCTCAGACATCTGATTCTTTTATTGAGAATGTTGGTCCATATTAGTGATACTCATTATGTGGACAAAATATATATTAAGATATATACACATATATACATATATATATATATATATATATATATATATATATATATATATATATATATATATATATATATATATATATATATATATATATATATATATATATATATATATATATATATATATATATATATATGTATATAAGCCTGGGTCTACTCAAAGTCGACAGCGATTATTTTTTACACCAAGTCGACATAAAAAAATTTTTTTTTTAATTCATTTTTCACTAACAGATGTTGCCTAGATTAAGTATTTGTATCGTAAAAAAATTTAAGTGATCAATTAAGCGCTTTTTTAAAAAGAAATAGAAAATTTTTCGACTTAGTGATTTTAACGCATGCACATATATTTCAACTTGACGTCGTAGAAATAGTATAAAATAAATTTTATACGCATATTTTAAAGTTTATTTGTCATTTTTACATATATTTATATTAAAAAAATTTATAAAAACATAGAAATATTATAATACAAGTCTACATATTTATTATTGTTGACTTGGCGCAAGATTTACGAGTAGAATAAGTCTACTTATAGTTGAAAAAAAACATATTATATAATGTCTAAATGTTACTTTTTTTTTTGAACTGGTCGTATATTATTTTAACTAAATAGTTTATCTATATTTTAAACAAAAATTATAATAAATATATCTTTATATTTCAAACAAAAAATGCAATCTCTTAACTATCGACCTATAGGCAGTATATGTAACACGCGTAAATATACGCGCTTTTAAAAAAAGTTATTGTTTATAGTTTGCCGCGTTTTTTTTTTTGTTAATGTTTTTTATAGAAATCGCTTGAGTATAATTTAGACATTACAATGATATCTTTTTTTTTAAACTTCCATTGAACTAATTGTAACTAAAATTCATTCAAACGTAAAGTCGACAGGAAATCTGTCGACTTATGAAAATTGTCTACTTGACGATGGTTATAGAGACATAGTTTGTCGACTTTGGGCTGACCTAGTGCTAATATCTAACATGTTTGTATAATAATTTAACGTATGGTTTAAATTAATTGACCTTTTTTTTTTATTGATTTATTGCTGATTGGATTGCCTTATTTACAGTTTTGCTTGCTGTTTGATGTTTTTAATTGCTTCTTAAGAATTATCAACCTTTTTTAAGAAGCTTGCCTGAACAGTTTTTTTTTTTTTTTCTTCTTTTTAACTGCCTCCCCAACCTCAGACTAAAGATTTCACTACCTATAGAAGAGCAATAAGAAATTGAGCATCAGTTAGAGACAAGTCAAAAATTAAAGTGTAAAAGTAATTGTTTTCTGGAAAAAAAGTTTAATAAAATAAGAAATGAAGAGGTAAAAAATAGTTAATTCCTCCAAAAAAAAGTGTTTAAAGCTCATAAAAGTTAAAGGACCTGGTTTTATAATAAATCTTAATTGATTGATAAAAGTCAAGCCTGTGACTGTGTAAGTCTTTGCAAACCAAAGGGTAATATAGCCATTGAAAGTAAGATCCTAAGATAAAACAGCTGAATTCAAATGACCCTTTCAAAGTATGTTGTAATGATGGTTTACTATTTTCAGGTATTTTGTTTTTGTTTTTTATTAAAGTAAAGTGTGGTACTCAGTCAAAGATAATTTAAGATTACTTAAACTATCTAAGATGAAGTCACCCTAAAAGCTTTACAGTTACTTCTGCTAATCAACTTCCTGATAATCAAATTAGAGGTATTTTTACCATGCGCAATTTGGCACTGTTAATGCTCTAATATTTCAAAGTTGCTGACAAAATCAGCTTTACTGAGAGCTACAACAAAGTTTTGAAACCTTACTAACAGCCGGTTATAGAATTAATAAATTTAGTTCTGAGCTCTCATGAGATAACAAAAAGAATTGCATCAACACTACCAAATAGGGACAAACAAAAGTTATAAATAAAGTCAACAAGTTTCAGCGTTTATTATCCTAGACAGGAAACAATGTAACACAGGTTTACATGCTAACCTATCAGATGATGAAGAAGGGAAAGGCTGATCAACAAAAGTTTTCTGCTTCTAACGTCTTTGACTTAAAATTATTCTACAAAAAATTACTAGTTGCAATTAATATCTGCCTAAGAATTTTTTTAAATTGTTTACTTAAAGTGCCCCAAGCGTTTTCCACTAACATTCTACTAAAAAAAGAAATTATGATTAATTTTTATTAATACTTATTTTTGGTTTATAACAACAAAAAATTTTAATTTTAATTTTTTTTTATTTTTACTTAATTTGTCTAACAATTATAAATATAATAATAATAATAATAATAATAATAATAATAATAATAATAATAATAATAAAATGTTTTATAAAATTTTTATATTTAAGTTTTTAAGTTAAATTTAAAGGCTCCAGATTTTTGGCTGATTTTTAGTATTTTTGTTTAGTTTTTTAAATTATTTTTTTACATTTTTTTTAAAATAATCTAATATTATTGATTTACTTATTTTTCTAGTTTGTTTTTTTTAGATAGCAGCACCCTACCTATTGTTAATTTCTCTACAGGTATTAAAAATATTTTTACATTTTGTTTTGTTTGTAGTAACTATTACTTTAAGTAAAGGGATTTTTAATAAGATTTTATTTTTTATTTAATAATTAACAAAAAAAAAATTTCAGTTTTAATAATTATATATTTATTTTATAATTTACAGCAAATAATTAAAACTATTAATATACTTAATAATCTTACAACTGATTGGTTAAAATTGATCTTACTTAAAATTAATTGGTTAAAATTATTTGTTGAAATAATCTTAAATACAATTGATTGAATAAAATATTAATATTTTAGCCAACCATTTGATGATCAACTCTATGGACTAATTAATAGCTGAAAACCTTTTTTTTTTAATTTAAAAACAATCAAAAATACCAAAAAATGCAAAAACACATATCTAGTTTATGTGTGTTAAGACCAAAATACTTTTACTTAATTCTTGTTTAACAAATTGTTTTAATGAATTTAGTCATATTATATCAAGTCTAAAATTAAAAAATAATATGAAACTTTCTGAAAATTTTTTATTTTGTTGTTGTTATTATTAGTTTTAAAAAATATATATTGCCAAGTAGAAGTAAGTGATACTATTTAACTAATTATTAATAAATAAACAAATATTTAGCTAATAATAGCTAAACATTTGGTGTTATATTTTTTTTTTAATACTAAAATTTTTTTTATTTTACTAAAAAGTAATAAAATTTCTTTTTTTATTACTTTTTTTATTGCCACTAATTTATAGATGTTAATAAAAATAGTCAAAAAAAGTATATATAAAAATTTTTAAAATAGGCTTTGAAAAGCAAAGTTTAAATAAACAGAAAACTGAAATAGAAACTAAATAGAAGTTAAATTAAAAAATAGATTATATGGATCTTGCTAATGTTCAACATACCAATTTTTTTTTTTTTTTTATATAAAATTAAAAAACTGTCAAAAAAAATGGAAATAAATTATTAAAAAAATATGTTGATTTCATAAAGTAAATCATTAGGATAATTTTCAGTAATATGAGGCAACATTATTAAAACAAAATAAATGCCTTAAAATTGCTGTGAATAAGTGTTTAAACAGGCAATTGCAGTCATTTTAAAACTTTTATTCTAATTTTAATAGTTGAAATAAAATTCAACATTTTTTTTCAAACCAGAATTGAGCTTTACAGATGCTAATTTAGCAATCGAATATATATATATATCATTTTCATGAGAGGTCAGTAACAAACAATAATTTTAAAGAGAGCGCTAATAAACAACACCAAAAAAAGTTTAAAAACTTAAATTTGTTTTTTTCCTTTAATGGTAAATTGCCTGCCCAAGCCAAACCCTCAGTAGATATAGCAGCACTCTGTTGCGAGTCAGGCTATAAGAAAGTCGATGTAGCAACATTCCTATGTAGTAGCAGGTTGTAAGATAGTCAATGTAGCAATACTCTGCACATGTTTTAAAAAAATGTTTTTAAAAAACAAAAACACTATTTATAAAAAAAGTTTTCTTTTCATTATTATTGCGGTTTTAATAAAAAACAATAAAACTTAATGTACTTCCACATCAATTTAATTGTTTTAACTTTTCGGTGACAATAAAATGTAGCTTAATTGTCTAGGTAGCAAAATTGTTGTTAAAAGAGACTTTTTTTACATTAAAAGTGTCTTTCCACTATGAGAAAGGATATATATATATATATATATATATATATATATATATATATATATATATATATATATATATATATATATATATATATATATATATATATATATATATATATATATATATATATATACAAAAAAGACTCATCATAAATAAATGATCAAATTAATAAAACTGCAATATATACTGTAAGTTTTGACACATTCTTTATAAAAGAACAAAAGTAATGAATTCTTTAGAATACATTTTTTAGTTTCTAAGGAGAAACTTATTTTTGTGCCTGCATTTAGAAATCAATTCTGACTTTTTGTATAATAAACATTCTTGGTTTGCATGTGTATTTATTTCAAATTATTTTTGTAGGCATAGTATACATTTTTTGGAAATATTGTTATATGCAGGTGCTGTTTTAAGGACCGATTCAGTATAAAATCATCAATATTTTTATCTTTTAATTACCATTTGTATTTTGACAGCATGGTGTTTTTTGAATATTTTTTATTTTTTTAAAGGATTGCTTCTGATTGGCAAAACTGTTTTTCCATTCACCCTCGGTAAAGCCAATATATTGTTTATCAGGTATATTCTTTGAGGAAATAACACATTTATATACCACGTTTTTTGATAAACAATATCTACTCACTCAACAATTATTTTTTGTTTGCAATTACAAAAAAATAATAATTGTCTAATGAATTAAAAGATAGGTTATTGATCATTTTATACTGAATTGGTCTATCCTTAAAACACCACATGTATATAATTTGGGAATTAATATAAATCATTGGTTCGAAATAGAAATTTTCATGCTGGTTTCTAATAAAATGACTATAATATACAAATACGGTTACATACATAAATGCTGTTTCTATGGGAAAATGTTTTTGTTTCTAGAACATGTCTGAGCTAGCTTTGAGAACCAGAAGATAATATAAATTCTATGTATAGATATTAAATCTATCATAGGTTTAAATACTTTAAAGTATGCCTAAGTTGGCTGGATATGGTTTGGTTATATGATTTTTTACACTGGTTTTTAGTATTACTTGACTCTATTGTACTGGAACATTTAATACTTTCTTTAGCAACCATTGGTATGTGTGTGTATCTATGTATATTTATGTATATAAAAGTATAGGCATATGTGTGTATATATAAAAAAAAGTTAGTTCTTTTGGTCATTTGTTAGTTTTTAGTAATTTCAATAAGAGAGATGCCAGGTACCAAGTTCGGACCCAGAGACCTGCGGTTTTACCAGGTACCTGGAATCAGCTGTTTTATTGGTGTACCCGGCACCAGGTATCTTTAAAATTATTTTTAACTAACATATCCTTTAAGCACTGTAAATAATAAAAATAATAAAACTTATAAAATAAAATGTTGTTTTAGTGTTTCAACCAATAAACTTCTTAATAGATCCAGAAGTTGATAATTCCTATGAACTAAATCTAGACGTGTCTTACTAAAAATGCCTTTTTGAATATATTTTTGCTATATTTTATTGCAAAACGTTGATAGCAGATAATATTGCAACAAGGAAACTGATTTATACATATATAAAAACCGTAAAGTAAAACAAAATATTATGAGAATACGAAAGAAATAAAAAGAAAAAGAAAGAAAAAAAAACAAGTAATTGCATCTTTTATTGCTTTGAACTTGAGAGAATGAGTTTAATACTTTGTGTAGGTTGTTTTTAAATAAAGTTTATACTAAATGACTGTTTACAATAAATAATAATATATAAATATAGACACAGTTTTCAAACCGGGTACCAGGTTTTTACCACCAGGTACCAGGAATCTAGTACCTGGCATATACTGGTTCTGGCACATCTCTAATTTCAATCAAGTCGTTTAATATACTGGTTTTATTTAGTGTTAATTTTGCACTTTATCTAGTGTTTTTTTGTTTTTTTATATATCCTTTCTGTAAAGAATCTAAAGTCAATTTTTATAATATATTGGCTCCACTAAGAGGCAACTTGCAGAATATAATGCCATATATATATATATATATATATATATATATATATATATATATATATATATATATATATATATATATATATATATATATATATATATATATATATATATATATATATATATATATATATATATATATATATATATATAATGCTGTATATAATTATATTCTCATTACTCTTTTTGGTAGAATAAATATAGAATATAGAACAAAGAATTTGTCCACCAATTTCAATAAAAAGTTTATTCTTACCATCAAGTAAAAAGTAATAAAGAAAATAAACATTTGATTGAAGAAGAAAAAAAAAACTTACAAAATTATTTAATGATGTAAATACTCTAATAGACTACATGGTTGTCTGCTACATAATCAACAAAATAACAGCAAATTGTGTACAACCTTATACGCCCTATTGCTTCCCAAATTTTTATGGATTACCAAAAACAGGCAAGTGGGTATACCGTTATGACCTAGTGTTTCAGCATGTAATGGCCCAATGGATCATTTATCTAAATTTTTCACACACTTTAAACAACCAGTGGTAGAATTTCCCACCTCATATATCAAAGATACACCTGCTTTTTTTCATATGCTTCATTCCCACCAATTTATCTCTTCTAACTATTTTCGATTAAATTATATCAGAACGGGAAAACTTTTCTAAAAAATTTCTAGCTTTAGCGCAAATCTTTGTGTTAAGAGGTTTCAGTATATTAATATTGATATTAATTTGCAGATATTAATTTGCAATTTACTAAAAGCTTTGCAATTTAGTCAAAATCAACTAATTAATAAACCCCCTACAAATATAGATGTATATATATATTACCCATAGTAACTCCTTATTGTGATATTGGAAGAGATATCAATAACATTGTTGTGAAGCATTGGCATATTATTAGAGATGAACCCTATTTAGCAACAATATTCCCATTGATACCCATACTTACCTATTTCAATACAGCATCAATTAAAGATATTTTAATACATTAGGTATTAAATTATCTTTAACCAAATAATGTATACATACAAAGTTATTGACCATTTTTTTAATAAATTTTAGTTATTTGATAATTTATATATTACTAGAATAGTCTGTTTATTTTTAATACATCATTATCTTTGCATTGGTCACACGTCTATATCTATGTTACTGTTTTTAAATATTATATGATATTTATTTACATTTTATTAAACATTAGGTTAGACATATCCTATATACACGTTTAGACCATTTTTTAGGCTTAACTCGATACCACTATTATATTATTACTGTTTATGAACTTTACTCTATACCATTATTAGCATTATAATCGTTTCATAGGTTTTACCTTTTACTGCATATAATTACTATAATTATAATTATTTTAATCCTATACCACCATTGAATTTTCTGATTAATTTTGTAAGATTAGAGTTTCATTATTGACTGTTGAACTATAAATTTCTCTGGAGTGTGCTTTTAGCCAATAGAATTGCAAGTATTTTTTATTTGTTTGACGTTGCCAAGTCACTTTGTTATTGTTAGCATTGCTATATTTTTATTTTAATTGAAAATAAAACTACTCTTGAGAGTAGTTTTATTTTCAGTTTTACGTCAGGGTTAGGGTAAAAAAAAAAACCCTAACCCTAACCCTGACTCATTTACGATAATAAGCTGTCTACTTCTTAAAAAATATTTTTATTAACTTATCGAATATGGTAAAATAGTTATCTATCTTTTTACCTTCTTTTATATGGGTTTTATATCTTAGTGTGTATTTAAACTGAAAAAAAAATTTTTCACACTGTATGTTATTGTTTATAACTGTTAGATTAATTGGATATACTTTTTGTGCATGTTTGTCTCTATATCCCCATTTTTTTCTAAAAATTGTTGATGTTGCCTAATTTTGGAAGCAGTGTGGGTGATTTTCTATAGTAAGGTTCATTTTATGGAAATAATGACTGATATCATGTACACTACAAGTGATGATAAAGATAGCAAGGCTGCGACCCTGACAAGTGAAGCTAGCCATTTTCTCTCTGAGGATGGAGTTTTACCTACATTTATTCCACTACTTAATTTTAATAGGATCTTACAACTCTATGACTTTTATTATTTTTTTATGTATATATATATGTGTGTATACATTATAAGTATGATTGTATAAGTATATATATATATATATATATATATATATATATATATATATATATACATATATATATATATATATATATATATATATATATATATATATATATATATATATATATATATATATATATATATATATGTATATATATATATATATATATGTATATGTATATATATATATATATATATATATATATATATATATATATATATATATATATATATATATATATATATATATATATATATATATGTATATATATATATATATATATATATATATATATATATATATATATATATATACTTATACAATCATACTTATAATGTATACACACATATATATATATATATATATATATATATATATATATATATATATATATATATATATATATATATATATATATATATATATATATATATATATATATATATACAGGCCTTGGCGGGAATAAATGAGCATAAGAGCAGAGAAAAGTTCCTAAAACGAACTTGGGAAGCTGTGCGAGCAGCTCCTCATTTAAATTGGTGCTCTTTTTCAATTTTAATTTTTTTTTGCAACAACTGTGCTTTTTAAAAAGCATATTATGCGATTTTTAAAAAGCACAATTGTTGCACACTTTAAATTTTTTTTAAATGACATTGTGTTTTTATTTTAGTTTTAATGATAGTTATACTTTCATAAGAAAAGTTATACTTTAGCAAGAGCTGTAAATTGCTCCTGTAAACCGTTTTAGGGGAGTGTGGGCGAGAACAATAGCTAAAGCTCTCGCTTCCCGCTGAGGCCTATATATATATATATATATATATATATATATATATATATATATATATATATATATATATATATATATATATATATATATGTATATATATATATATATATATATATATATATATATATATATATATATATATATATATATATGTATATATATATATATATATATATATATATATATATATATATATATATATATATATATATATATATATATATATATGTATGTATATATATAAATATATATATATAAATATATATATATAAATATATATATATATATATATATATATATATTTATATATATATATATATATATATATATATATATATATATATATATATATATATATATATATATATATAAATTATTTTTTTACTATATGCTTTGCTAAAGTGTCTTTGTTTTGCTCTGAACATCTGTTCAAAATATCTTTTTAATTTAATTTTTTTTTTACCCTTTCTCTTTCCTAATTTTTTTCCTTATTTCACTTGGGCTTGACAGCTCGGTCTAGTCCTTTGATGCATGTTTTTGCATTTTTTTGAATTCAGAATTTGAGCAGTATGTTTCTAGAGTTTTAAGTGATGAAAAAAATAGATTTAAAAAAGAGTAACATCTCTTCAACCAAAAGTGTGTACGAAATTTTTTGTTTTGGTAGTTTTTAAAAACTGATTACATATAAAGGGTGAATGATATATATAGCAACTAAAGAAAATGGTGAAAAAAAAACATACACACAAACAAATAATGGAAACATAAATATATTCCAAAGTAGTTTGTTAATGAGTTTATTAAACAATGGGAAAAATGTATTAAAAAGTTAAAGAGAAAAGAAAAAATTAAACTTACATATAGTGGATGATTTCATTAAACTTACGTATACGGGATGATTTGAATCAAAAGGAGCAAATGAGTTTTGTGGACTTTATAAACTTGCTTGATAATAATTATATATTTAGTTTTCATCCACAAGAGTATTTGACTCAATTTTTTTTACTTTAGCAATTAAGCTCAAAAACTTCAAAAAAAATTAGTTCGAAATATGTTGAGCATTTTCCTTAAATTTGGTATTTCATATAACTTGCAATATAATAATGGAAGAGCATTCACTGAATCATTTACTGGAATTATACAAAATGTCTCTGCTTTCTTGACTAGTTTATTTTCGGAAAGTGGAAGACCTAGTATCCTCAGTCACAAGGTTCTGTTGAAAGAAATAATGCTATCCTGGAAGGTTTTTTTATAGCTTTTTATTGTCAGAGTTCAATCAGTTAGTTAAGTTCAATCAAAAATAGACAAACAGGTTTATAAAGAAATTGTAATCCAAACATTTGTCATCCAAATCTAGCAATAAAAATTCACCAAAAATTATTAAAAACAGTGAAAAGGTTCATATTTTAAATAATTTTGAAAGATATGAAAATCAAAAAACTGTGTTTGGCTGTTACACAGTTCCGGATGAAAACGCCAAGGTAATCCATTCAGCTATTTTTAAAGGGCAATTATTTTAGGGCACTTAGTTTATTGCCAGTAAAAATATGAAAAAAGCTTCTAAAACTATGGTTAAGAAAAACATACAAAAAACTAAAAGCAATAGAAATCGGTGATGGTATAAATGTCTTTGTACAATCTTTAGAGAAGGAGGGGGAGATCCTTCCAATCTAACTGATGTTGTTCCAGAAGTTAAAGGTGTGATGTAAAAAATTGCCACAAAAACTTGTATAATTTATCTTTGGCTGAAAAAAAAACAGCTTTGAAGGTATAAAATTTATAGGGTGAATAGTTAGTGGGGTGAAAACTGAAGTAATGAGTATTTGAATAGATACTTTGCGAAGTTTGCAACTTGTTTTCTTTAAAAAATTTTAAACTATTTTTATCTCTATATCAATTGTGTTTATTTATCTTGAAAGTTTTGTTTATATGTTTATCTTTTTGTTTTTATAGATTAAAAAAAAAGTTTTTTTAAAAACACTGATAATTAAAAGATGGATTTAGTTTGGAATTAATAAAATAATATTATTTATAAGTAATAATTATAAAATAATTTATGATGAAAAATATTAACGATAATAAAAGTTTTTTCTCATAGTAAATATTGCAAGACCTGTTGTTTGCACAAAGGTCAGGTATGATATGAAAGTGATGTTTTTGATTTGTTTAAATTTTAAAATATTTTATACAAAAGCAACAAAAATAGCAGCTTATTTTAAAACACTTCAGTTCCATAGGAAAAACAAGTCTGTCTAAGAATGAGTATTGGTCAAGAATGAGTATCCCTAAAAACTACAAAACAGCTTTTGTACTCATTATGACATTCGAGGTAACCCATATTAGATAAGCGTAATTCCTTAAAAGTAGGGCGGAATTATCTACCAAATAAAGTAACAAGTGCTTCATCTATTAGGATGGCGCAGATAAGTTTATAATACAGTTTTCAGTTTAAGATGTTGAATGCTGATTCTTCTTGACTCAATGCATGGGTTTTGCTTGTATTTCTGCTTTTATGACTAGGCAACTTGCTTGGGCTATTAAATAGTGTACTGATTACTATTTATGCTTTGAGTCAAGTTTATTAACAAATATAAAAATGATAAAAGTATCAAAAACTATAAAACACAAAAAACCATCATCATCACCAAGTTATCTAAATCTATCATTCACTAATATTGGTGATCTTTGTAGTAACTTTTTTTCTGTTGAGTCTTATCTCTTGCAAAGTTCACCAGACCTACTTGCTCTTTGTGAGGCTAATTTAAGTTCAGCTGTCTCACCTTGTGATCTTAGTGTTAATGGTTATCTATATAAATATTCTGTAGATTCAAACTAGGTTTGAATCTACAGAATATTTTTTTATGTGCTTTTGTTTAGCATCACTTCACTCTATTGCCTCACTCTTCTTCATCTCAAGACTGCACTCTTTTTGATGTTGTTTCTGATCAAATCGACCAAGCCCTCTCTCTTTATCCATCAGCTAATATTGTTATTGGTGGTGACTTTAATACTCTTCACACTGAATGGCATGGCTCTATTGTCAGTGATTCATCAGACATAAAGGCTCACAGCTTTTGCTTTTCTCAATCCCTAACTCAAACTTGTTTTCCAGACAACCTGAATTGTTTACCTTTTCTATCAACTTATTTCTTGTTTCTGATTCAAGTCAGTGCTCAGTTTCTCCACATTCAGCCTTAGGTGCTTCTAATCATGGTTCGATCTCTCTAAAATTAGTATTTCATTCTTCTTCATTATCGGAATCCCCTTATAATTGTACCTCTTACAACTATCTTAAAGCTGACTCTGACTCTTTCAGTAATTTTCTTTGTGATGGCCCTTAATTAAAAATCTTTCTTCTTTCTGCTGACAGATGTGCTTCTTACATAACTTCTTGGATTCAGGCTGGCGTAGAATTTTTCATTCTTTCTCAAAGATTCCAAGTTAAGCTTCACTCTTCTCCATGGTTTTTGACACATTGTGCTGCTGCAATTTCCAATCAAAACCATTACTTTCATATCTATCTGTAAAAAAATTCTCCAGAAAACAGATGTCTGTTTATTACTGCTAAGAACCATTATAAAAAGGTTTTTTCTAACACCAAAGCTTCTATCCTCAGGTTATGACATCTCATATCTCAAAAACTAGGTTCTCGTGACTTCTGGAGCATCTTTAACAGTATCAATAATAAGGGCAAATCTTTTATTCCACCTCTCTTGTGCGATTCAGATTTTTTTACCTTACCTAAAGACAAAGCTGAATTTTTTGCTAAGAATTTTTCATCAATATCATCTCTTGATTCCACTAATTGCATTCTACCTGATATAGCCGACTAACAGGTTTATCAACTGCCTGACATTCCTATCACTCCAGCTTCTGTATCTAAAGTGATTTCCTTCTTAGACTCATCAACAGCTTGTGGTCCAGACAACATACCTGTTATAGTCTTGCAGAATTGTTCTCCAGAGCTGTCATCTATACTTTCAAAATTATTTAACAAGTGCTTATTGGAGACTTGTTTTCCAGCATGTTGGAAAGTGGCATCTATTTTTCTTATTTTCAAAAATTCTAAAGTGCAATCTGACTTGTCTAACTATGGTCACATTAGTCTTCTTCCTACCAGAAGCAAGGTTTTTGAATTAACAAACACTTAATCTCTCATCTTAAATCTAATAACATACTTTCTGATCATCAATACAGATTTTGTTCTTCTTATTTATACAGCAGATTTGCTAACATTATTAATCAATAGGTTTTATTATACATTAGATAGAGGTGGAAAGGTTAAGGTTATTGCTCTTGACTTTTCTAAAGCTTTTGATAAAGTTCTTCATGCTGGTCTTCTCCATAAGCTTTTATCTTATGGTGTATCAAGTAACGTCTTTATTGATTATTGAATCTTTCCTTTCCAATCATAGTATAAAAGTTGTCCTTGATGGACAGCACTCTTCTTTATATCCTGTAATTTTTTGGGTTCTTCAGGATTCTTTACTTTGCCCTGTACTATTTTTATTTTTTTCCAAATATTCTCACATCTAAGGTGGCATTGTTCTCTGATGATATTACCATTTATTCTTGTCTTGAAAAGAAGCCAACACTCTCATATTGCTTTGAGGGGGCATTTAAGCTTGAAAAGGATTTCAGTTCTGCTACAGAATGGAGCTCATAGTGGCTGGTAAACTTCAATTAAGATAAAACTCAATTTTTTACAGTCAGTTGTTACTGTAATAATTTAGATCATTATATATTTATGAACAGAGATGCACTTAGCAAGTCCCCTACCCTTCATCTTCTAGGATTAACTTATATTTCTGATCTTCTTGGAAGCCATATATCAAATCCATTGCAAAACTAACATCTGCTAAGGTTTAGTATCTTTATGGTTGTCAATAATTTCTTATTTTGAATTGTATTCTTTATCTTTATAAATATCAAATCTATCCTTGTATAAAATACTGTTGCCATATCTGGGGTGGATCTTCAAATAATGCCTTTTTTCTTTTAGGCAGGGTGCAAAAAGACATTGTAAACTTAATTGGACCTGCTCTTACAGCCTTCCTACAACCATTATCAAATCATCGTAATGTTGCTTCTTGTTCTCTTTTCTACAAATACTATAATGAGCACTGCTTTAAAGAGCTAGCATCTCTTGTGCCATCTACTTCGTTCTTGTGTTACTCGTTAATCAATTTTAATTTATATTTTTATATGCAAAAAAAAATTAAAAAATTTAGTTTTCAATTCAAAAACGTTTACAATTCATGAAACATGTAAGATTATAATTCCAAATTTTGTGTAATGCACAAGCAATTGTACATTCTGTGAGTTGTGTGTGCAATGTTATTATCTGATTTATGAAATAAGCAAAAATTTGTTTATTTTATGAACTCTGCAAGTTCCTGATCTGTACGTAAAATATGCTATACAATATATATGATGATATAATTTAGTTTAAAATACTACTTATGACACATGTCTTACACAAATATCTTTAAAGCTGTTTGTAGAAATTGTGATCATTTTATATATAATATTGAAGAACTAATAAATAAACATTAATAAATTTTTTTTTAAAAGATCTCCTTATTTGTTACGCTTAAAAGCAAATTTTGATCCTGCTATTCAAAATAATTAAAAAAAATTATTTAAGTATATTTATGGTTATGATGATAGCAAAATGTTTTTTTTTTTATCATACTCTAACATACTAACACAACTTTTTCTTATCTGGTGATGCTTCCATTGGTTGACCCTTTGTTTTAAAGCATTCAATGAGCAAAGGTTGACTGCAATTTAGGAAAAAATAATAAAATAATTTACTGCTTCACCCAGTAAACAATTGTTTTTATAATCATAAGCTGATTGGTTCTTTAATTATTGAAATCATGACTGATTACTATTTTTCAAAATAATTTGGTTTATTTGTTGTTTTTTAATTATGCTATGAAAAAAATAACATAAGCTGATAATTCGTTTCTCATAAAATATTTTTTTTTTAGTTATGTTGCTGTCACAAGGTTCTCAAAATGGTATATTATATTTACCTTATTTAAGTCATCGTAAGTATAAAAGTATTAATAGCAATCAGATAGATTTTTTAAAGTTAAATTGATATAAAAATGTGGTTAAAATATGAAAAGGTAGTTCTACAAACTTTTTAAAACTAATTTATGTTGCATTTAATTTTAGCTTCACCATCTTTAATATCTACCAACATTAAGTTATTTTGTTAAATTAAACTTAAATAGTTGTTTTTTATAAAAAAATTGGTAAATAAATTGCTTATTAAAATTGGTAACTAAGTTGGTTGTAAAAATTAATATTTTATTGTTTTAAGACAAAAGTTTTAGTAAATATTGTTTTTAAACTTTAAGTTCATATTTTTGCAAAAGTTTAGGAATAATTAATAGAATTTAATTCTTTTATTACATAAATGATTTTCTATTAAAACTCTATCATTTCATTTTATCAAAGTAGTTTTTCTTAAAGTGGATAACTTTAATGTCTTAACCCTTCCATATAAATGGTTAAATTAGTTATTTGATAAAGCATTACTATTTGAATTTAATAAACAATTTTTTTGGTTTTTTTAGACAAATTATACATAATTGTAATTGCGATATTGGCTCCAGTTTTATTTTTTCTAAGTATATCTGCTGTTGTTGTTGTGTTAAGAGTTCAAAGAAAAAAAATTAAATCTCTGCAATCAATATGGAGACCTGAAATTCATAAAATTGAGTGAGAAACATTTATGTTGTACAATTTATTTATTTTTTCATTAAAGGATGATTACATACATTTTATGATTAAAAATTCATGTGTATGAAAATTAATAAAAACTTCCCATTAATATAGCGCTTACACTTGATTAAAATATCTTTTTAATTTTAAAAGAATAATTTTTTATGTAAGATGGTAAATAAAATATTTAATTTGGTGGCACCTGGAAAATGGCTCACACATCTTAAACTGTTCATTGTTATCTAAGCTTTTATTAAATCATATTTTGGAACTTAATAAATTCAATTATTCAAAAATTGGAAACTAGAGAAATTTGCTAAATATAGGAGAAATGTTATTTATCAAACAAAAATTATAGGAATGAAATTTATTGATCTTATAAATTATAAACAGAAAAAAAGTACAAAAGAGTTAAGAAACAAAAAATATAAAAAAATAGCATAAGATTTCCTGGTAATCTTAGAATATTTACTTCATAACTAAAAGTGTTTATTTGTTATCTAAGAGCTTTTACTTGTTATTTGAGAGAGGTTGTTGATCATTCTTTTTTTTTTTTTGTTCATCTTTCTTTTTCTGTTCCAATTTTTTTCTTTGACTTTTGTGATAATTAAATGTTAAGTACCTATTACTATGGATTATCATTATTACAAGATTAAGTTTACCAAGTATATAAAGATATTAAGTATACCAAGTATTCACTCACTTATCTGTATTACTTTTGTGTAAATTGGTATGATATCGGTATATGTTCTTGTATTATTTTTATTTTTTTATTACTGCTTTGTTTTGTATTACTGCTTTATTATATACACTTATACTTAATTGTTATTTTCATGTATTATGTATTATAGTTGTTGAATTTTTATTTCTAATCTATCACAATTTACTATTAATTTACACTAACATTTACAAACTATATTTCATTCAATTTCAATTTCCAGTTTTTCTACTACACTACATCCAATTTCAGTTTTTTCCACTCATAATAACTTATTATTCCAGGCTCTTCTGATTAACATGGTTTTAACTGCTTCTCAAAAGATTTGGCTCTCTTTCTGATTTAGAGCTCAAGCAAACATTATCAAATAAGAATACTAATTCATTATATCATCTTGATTCTACATATAATCCAAGAAATACTATTTCAGATTTTAATTATTGACATTAGTTACAAATACTATGACTCTGTAGATTTCAATAAAAAAATCAATCCTAACTCAGATTTTTATATTCATTTCAATATTGCTTCCTTATCGTTTCCCAATGATGATCTCTGTAGTTTTATTAGCACTCTTAATACATTACCTGTGGCAATAGGTACTACTGAACCCAATTTTTTTGTAAACAATACAAACATAACAAATACATCTATTTGGATTTCACATTGATCATTGCCCCACCTGAGGCTAAAAAGGGGGTGCTCTTTTATATCTATGCTCCCATTTAAGTTACATAGTTGGTAATGACCTAAGATCTACTCGTCCAAATGTCTAGAATTTATTTTTGTTGAAGCTATAAAATCTTACAAAAAATAAGCATATACTGACATCCCTCTATGAATCAAGACAAATTTAATAGTAATTATTTAACTCTTCTATTAGATAAGCTTAATACTGAAAAAAAAAAGTATTTCTTCTTATGGAAGACTATAATATGGATCTAATAAAATATAATAAATCCAATCCTACTTCTAATTAACTTGACTCACTAACCTTCTTTTATGTACACCCTGCTATAATTTTACTAACACACATAACAGCTAAATCATAGACCAACTAAATCATTGATAAAATATTTATAAACTTCCATTCAACAGACCAAATTTCTGGCAATCATATATCAATATCTGATCATATAGCACAATTTATCTGTATCAACTTTCTTTTAAGAATTAATCGCCTATATTATTAAATTGAAATATTTTATTAGTAAGTTCAATGATAGCATGTTCTGTATTTTTATTTACTAATTTTTGAAAACCAAATTGATTTTCATATAAAAGTTTGTGTAACTTCAAGTAATTATAAATTTAATTGTAGATTATTTTTTCATAAACTCAAGAAAACACTGGTAGGAGGGAAATTGGACGGTAGTTAGACATTATTACAATCTCCATTTTTATAAACAAGGTTCACTTAAGCAATTTTTAACATATCAGGAAAAGTACTGTTTTCAAAAGAAGACAATATCAGATGAAATAAGGGTTTCCTAATACATTCAATGATGTGTATTGCTACAAAAAAATATTTGAAGGAGTGTTAGTGGCATGCTTCACACAATGAGCTAACAAAGCAGAAAATCTAACTTAAAGCAAAATCACAGACTATAATTAGCATATATAGATCAATTTCCATTAAAAAATAGACTCTATAAAAAAATATGCAAAAATTTAACAATATTATTACTAAAAATCAACTGTTTTTAAAATTTAAAGTTCATAGAAACAGTAGCATCAATCTATTAAAACTTATAAAACACTTCTTACATAACCTTTTTTAGTAAAAATCTAAACAATATTAGGAATACTTGAAAAGGGATTAAAGAAAACATTAATAGAAAACCCTCCTACTACAGTTCAACTTTCAAACTTAAATTGAAAAAAAATATCATCACAGATCAAACTACTTTGTCAAATATACTTATCAACTTTTTTTTTACTATCCAAAACAATCTACAAAACAAAATCATACTCTCAATATCCAAATTTGCTGATCTCAAATTTCCAAATGCTAGTTCGTTTTTGATTGATCTAAGAATGAAATCTCTAATCTCATTAAAGCCACTCTTATTACTTAAAAAGGCTTGGTCCTTTTAGTCTTTTTACATTCTTTCTTAAACTTGTTCCAGATATTATTTCTAAGCCTCTCAGTATTATTATGATTAACTCATTTTAAAATGGTTCATTACCAAATGTTTTTAGAGTTGCTAGAGTCACATCAATATTTAAAAAAGGATCTACAACAGATGTCTAACTACCAATTCATCTCCCTTCTTTCTAATTTAAGCAAACTTTTTGAAAGAGCTATGCATAAGAGACTTTACACATTCTTGCAAAAACTTAAATGCCTTTTAATATGGTTTTTTTGCTAATCTCTTACCAACCCACTTACTTATCGAAATCACAGAGTCAATCAGAAAAGCTCTTGATGATAAAAATTTGCATGTGGTGTCTTTGTTGATCTACAAAAAACTTTCGATAAAGTGGACTGTTTTATCCTACTTTAAAAATTAGAATATTATGGAATCAGAGGAATTCCTCTCAAATGGTTTACTTTCTAACTTTACAACAGATTGCAGTTTGTTTCGATTGATGACTCAAAATCTATCTAAACAAAATGTTCTAATAGTGTCCTTTAAGGCTCAGTATTAAGTCCTCTGCTTTTTCTTCTTTACATTAATGATCTTAATAGTTCCATTAAGTTAGCAACTGTTTACCATTTGGATGATGATATTAACTTGCTCATTATCAACAAATATTTTCAAAAAACTAACAAACACATTAACTATGATCTCGCCAATCTTGTTTAGTGTCTTTACTCAAATAAGCTTTCTCTCAACTGTAGTAAAACTGAACTGGTTATATTTAAATCTAATAAATCAAAAATTAATAAAAACTTAAATTTATATTAAGTGGGCAAAAAATCCTCTAAACACAATCAAAAATCTAAGACTTAATATTGACTCTAATCTTTTGTTTGTAACCCATCTTAAAGACTTAGCCACAAAATTAAGAAGATCAAATGGAATGCTAGCTAAAGTTCGCCATTATGTCAATCTGGAAACTCTTAAACTTATACCATGCCATTATTGGCTCTCATATGCAATATGGTTGTCAAATATGGGGAAAATCCCAACAGCAAGCTGTTACAAGGGTATCTCATTTTTAAAACTAGGCATTAAAATTAATGTATTTTTAAAGTTACAAGTTTAATTCTAATGTTCTTACTTCTAAGATTCTCAAACTTAGTGATCTTGTTTAACTCCTAAAGCGCCAGTTTGTTTGGAATCACCAATACAAAAACCAACCTCTTACTTTCAACACCTTCTTCCCTAAAAGTACAAACGACCATTACTTTCTTATATTAACTAACAATCTGAACCTACTAGTCTTAAAACATTGTTTTAAGACTTATGGGCATAAGTCCATAATATATCAAAGTATAAAATCTTGGAATAAATTTTACTGACTTAAAAACTTTCCATTCATACTATATTTTTAAAAGCAACTTGTTCTACTCCTTCCTAAATAAATATCTTTAATATATCCAAAAATTTGTGTATGTAAATTAGTGTTCATGTCTTTGCGTGCTTATATATGTATATTTTTAGTATTATATTACAATATTTTTTTCATGGTAATTCTTATTAATATTGTTACAACTATAATATATATGTGTTATATATATATATATATATATATATATATATATATATATATATATATATATATATATATATATATATATATATATATATATATATATATATATATATATATATATATATATATGTATATATATATATATGTATACACATTTATAATAATAATAGTAATATATATATATTACTATTATTATTATAAATGTGTATACATATATATATATATATATATATATATATATATATATATATATATATATATATATATATATATATATATATATATATATATACATATATATACGTATATATATATAAGTATTAGTCTGTTTTAGAAACTGCATTGGTTTTGATTTATTACCAAAAGATGATTGGGAGATTTTTCCAGAAAGTATCAGCTTAAAAAATAAAATTGGGGAAGGAGCTTTTGGTACTGTTTTTGTAGCTAAAATCTGTGCCAAGGCAATTTTGAAAACAGGGAAAACTAACCAAATATCATCTTTGTTTGATATCAAAGAAGATTCTGTTATTAATGTTGCTGTGAAACTTTTGAAAGGTTTTTTTTTTTTTTAGATTTTTTGTACAAATTATGCTTTTAATAAAGCTTTTATTTTAATAAAAAACTTTTTCCTAAAAAGAAAAAATTTAGTTGGGAGTTAACAGAAAAGAAGAGAGTTATAGAGCGAAAAAGAGTTTAAAACCTGCATATATGAGCAGGTAAACATTAGGGTTGGATAGAATTTCAAAGAATTGTTAATTAAGATAAAAAGCTAGCTAAATAAAGTTTTTTTGAGCATAAAAGAACATTTAGATGAAAAATCATGCAATAAAAACACACATTTTGTAGAAAGGAAAAAAAAATTAACTTATGATGATGGTCAGAATTTCATCCAATCTATCAAAGAAGAGAGACTGCATGTAATATTAGCTATCTGTTTATTGTTCAAGCAATTAAAAAGTAATGGTCAAGACTGAATAATTTTAAAAAGTAATAGCCTTTTGGTCAAGACTGGAGTATCATTAGCAAATATAGCTGCAAAATAAGGATTATTCGTAGGATAATTACTAATATTATAGATTAGAAACAATACAGGACCAAAAATGGAACTTTGTTGCACACCAGAGGTTACTTTATTGGAAAACAAAGGGCAACTTTAATACTGCAATTAGAATGATTGAATGCTAGAGAGATCACAACAATTCAAAGCAATAGCTAAAGAGTTCACAGCAATCTTCATATTTTTTAAGCTTATATAAATGCCATATTGAAGATTAAATATTTGTTGAATAGTTTAGAGACAATCAAAGAGAGTTTTTTTACTTTAACAAGACAGTAAAAGTTGTTTAAACGACTAACTTTAACAACAGACTAAGGAGTGATTTGGATTTCTAACAGTAGAATAACCTGTTTCTTTGGAATTATGGTCATTACATTAAAGAGATAAATTAGAGGAAATATTTTTTGTAAGCATTTCTGCTCGATCTTTCAGTGATCTTTTTAGGTAAAACTAAAATACAAAAGATGGAATTTTTTTTTTTTTTTAATAACATTTTTCAAAGGTCATTAAAAAAATATTTTATCTTTTTTATCTTAGAGAAAAACTTTGGGTAAGGTGAGGCTTAACTTGAAATTGATTAGAAGGAATAAAAGTTTCCATGTCCTCTTTAATACAGGAAATTACATAAGGATACAATGTTCAGAAGAAAGTTGTAAGACATTATTCCAATGACCTTTGCAAAAAAAATCACAAAAGATAACAATAAAAAGTAAAATACTGAATTTGTTTGAGAGATAAAAGTTTTAGCTTGATCATAGAACTTATCTTCTTAATCTTAATCTTTATATCAAAGCAATTTGTTTGAGAGATAAAGGTTTTAGCTTGATCATAGAACTTATCTTCTTAATCTTAATCTTCTTATCAAAGCAATTTGTTTGAGAGATAAAAGTTTTAGTTTGATCATAGAACTTATCTTCTTAATCTTAATCTTCTTATCAAAGCAATTTGTTTGAAAAATAAAAGTTTTAGCTTGATCATAGAACTTATCTTCTTAATCTTAATCTTCTTATCAAAGCAATTTGTTTGAAAAATAAAAGTTTTAGCTTGATCATAGAACTTATCTTCTTAATCTTAATCTTCTTATCAAAGCAATTTGTTTGAGAGATAAAAGTTTTAGCTTGATCATAGAACTTATCTTCTTAATATTAATCTTCTTATCAAAGCAATTTGTTTGAGAGATAAAAGCTTTAGCTTGATCATAGAACTTATCTTCTTAATATTAATCTTCTTATCAAAGCAATTTGTGAAACTAATCACTAGAATAAGAATTTGTTTTTAAGGAATAAGAAAAAAAATTTTATAGATACCACAAACTTTTAAGTTTTGTGTAACTTAATATCATCAAATGACACTTGAAATATGATATTAAAAAATAGAAAAAATGCATAGCATCATAGAAATCAATAAGAGAATAAAGTAATTAAATAATGAAGTATGAAGATATATTTGATAATAATACAATAAAGTATGAAGATATATTTAAATTTGTTTTTAAAATGTTAGAGATTTTAAATTTGAATTTTCAATATCTATTATATTAGATTCTGAGTTAAACATAACATTTGTTTTTTATTGTTTTTATATTTTTTTTCCTCTAAACATTTTTTTGAACAGATTATTTCTCTTTAATTGTTTCTAAACATTATTTTACATTTTGTCTAATGATATGTTTTTGGGATAAATATTTATTGCTATAAATATTGAAACAATAAAATCTTCTTCTTTTTTTAAATTTTAGATCGTGCTAACTTATCAGAGTTAAATGATTTTAGAGAAGAAATCACTCTCATGAAAGAAATTGGATATCATAAAAATATTGTGAACATGATTGGTTGCTCTACAATTAAAAAACCTTTATGTTTGATAGTTGAGTTGATGGAGAATGGAGATTTGTTAAAGTTTTTGAGAAATAAACGTTCCAAAGTGAGATATATAATATATATAACATGTATATATAATATATGCATATTTAGTTATAGCATGTATATATAATATATGCATATTAAGTTATGAAATTAAAAATCTTGAATACATTCTTTTTAGTATTGGTGGTTAATTAAAGCATTTTTATTTTAAATGGTAATTAAAGTAAAAACGCCTCATTTGACCACATAAATTTTATCATTACAAGTAAAAGGTAAATAATACCATTAAAATAAAAAGATTCAAAGTTGATCAAAAAAGTTCATAATTGATTTAGTTTTTGAAACTTTTTTTTAAAGCTGATAACAAATAAGATAACTTGTTACCAGTTTTGGAACAAGTAACATACTACTTGTTACCAGCTTTATGATAACTTGTTAATTCACAAATGCTGGTAACAAGTTGTTACTTATCATAAACATACTTTTTTTTCAGGATTTTTAGAAATTATTTTTTATCCTAATACTGACTGACCCTAAACCAAAAACATACAGTTTTCTATATATGATTGTTTATACATATTAATATGATTAAATTAGACTTAATTTTTAATTGCAAATAAGCAAACTCCAACCTTAGCATTCAAATGCAAAGAGCTATGTAATCACCTCTTCTGAGTATGGCAATCATTTATGTAATCATCTCTTTTAAGCGCTTTTTGGATAATTTAAACATGGATATACACCTGTTGCACATTTTTTACATTTTCCACATCTGTTGCACATTTTGCAACACTATTTTGCCACACTATTTTGCAAACACCATTTTACCCACACATTTTGCAATACTTTTTTTTTGCAAACTGTTGTACACCTATTGCACATGTCTTGCTTGTGTTATTATGACTTAGCAACTCATTCTAATATCTCCTAATAAGGGTACAACTCTAAAACTCAACTTTATGGTTCTGAGACCGGCTGGTAGTCAGGTTCCCGAACTTGGTTGTAGCTCCCACAGAGGCTACAACAGAGTTCGTTGTGCATGAATTGTGTCCCTGTTCGTAGTTTTAGTGTGCATTGTCAAGGTCACATTTAGAGCCCTTTGTTATGGTTTAGGGTTTATTAATAGTATTGAGGCAATTTTTTGGACTATTAAATAGTATACTGAGTACTATCTTTTAGTCAAGTTCTTCAACAAATTTAAAAATGAATAAAGTATCAAAAACTATAAAACAAAAAAAACCATAGTCATCGCCAAGTTCTCTAAGCCTATCATTTACTCATATTCGTGGTCTTCGAAGTAACTTTTTTTTTTTGAGACTTATCTCTTGCAAAGTTGACTAGACTTACTTGCTCTTTGTTAGGCTAACTTGAGTTTGGCTGTTTCATCTAATGATTTTAGTGTTGATGGTTATCTTTCTCTAATTCCTAAAGACTCCAATAGTCATATGCTTGGCCTGGGCATGTACATTCGTAAAAATTCACCCATTTGTCAGAAAACTAAATTTTAATCAATAACTATTCTTTTATGTGCTATCATCTAGCACCACTTCACTCCATCGTCTTTTTTTTTGCATTATATTACTTACCTTTATCTCAAGACTGTACTCTTTTCTATATTATTTCTGATCAATTGACCAAATCTACTCTCATTATCCATCAGCCTATACCGTTGTTGTTGGTGACTTAAATGCTAAACACACTGAATGGCTCGGCTTTAGTGACAGTGACTCTGCAAGTGTTTAAGCCGATAACATTTGCCTATCTCATTCTCTAAATCAAATAGTCAACTTTCAAACTTGCTTTTCAGACAACTCGAATCATTTACCTTTTCTACTAAACTTATGTCTAGTTTCTGATTCTATTCAGTGCTCAGTTTCTCCACATTCATTGTTATATGCTTTTGATCACAGTTCGACCTCTCTAAAACTTTTATCTCATTCTTCTTTATTGTCTAAATCTATCATTGTACCTCTTACAACTACCTTAAAGATGACTGGGACTCTTTCCATAGTTTTCTTCCTGATGGCCCTTGGGTAGAAATTTATTGTTTTACTGCTGACAAATGTGCTTCTTACATAACTTCTTGGATTCAGACTGGCATAGAATTTTTCATTCCTTCTTGAGGATTCCAAGTCAAACCTCACTCTTCTCTATGGTTTTTGACACATTGTGCTGCTGCAATTTCCAATCCAAACCATTACATCCAAATCTATCTATAAACCAATTCCCCAGAAAACAGACGTGTGTTTACAATTGCTAAAAACCCTTGTAAAAAGGTTTGTCTAACGCCAAAGCCTGCTCAGGTTATAAAATTTCGTATTTCATCTCAAAAATTAGGCTCTTGTGACTTCTGGAGAAACTTTAATAATATCAATAATAAGGGCAAATCTGTAATTCTACCTCTCTTGTATGCTTCACTCATTGTCCCCTCACTTAAAGACAAAGCTGAATTGTTTGCTAAGAACTTTTCATTAATATCATCTCTTGATTCCACTAGTTTCATTCTAACAGATATAGCCAAAAAACAAGTTGATCCGTTGTCTGACGTTCGTATCACTCCAGCTTCTGTATCTAAAGTGATTTCCTGCTTAGACTCTTCTACAGCCTGTGGTCTGGAAAACATACTGTTTTTGACTTGCAGAAGTATTTTCTGGAGCTGTTGTCTATACTTTCAAAACTATTTAACAAGTGGTTATTGAAGTCTTGTTTTTCAGCATGACGAAAGTGGCATCTGTTATCCCTGTTTTCGAAAATTCTGGAGAGCAATCTGACCTGTCCAACTACTTTATCATTTGTCTTCTTCTTACCATAAGCCTTCTTACTACTATAAGTATGGTTTTTGAATCTTTAATTAACAATCACTTAATCTTTTATATTGAGTCTAATAACTTACTTTCTGATCATCAATATGGATTTCAATCTTCTTGTTCTACAGCTGACTTGCTAACAATATTACCCGATAGGTTTAATTGTGCATTAGATAGAAGTGGAGAGGTTAAGGCTATTGTTTTGGTATTTCTAAAGCCTTTGATAAAGTTTGGAATGCTGATTTTCTCTATAACCTTTTCTTCTAAAGGTGTATTAGGTAACATCTTTAAAAATATTGCATCCTTCTTTTCCAATCATAGTATAAAAGTTAACCACGATGGACAGTCATATCCTTTAATTTCAGGGGTTCTGCAAGGTTTTATCTTTTACCCTATACTCAATATTTTTCATTAACAATCTACATCATATTTTCACATCTAAGGTGGCATTTTTCTCTGATGATACTACCATTTAATTTTGTTTTGATAAGTAGCCAACACTCTCTAACTGCTTGGAGGAAGCATTTGAGCTTGAAAAGTATCTCACTTCTGATACAGAACGGAGCTCCTTATAGCTGGTGAACTTTAATTTAGATAAAACCCAACTTTTTTCAAACAATCATTATTGCAATAGTTTAGATCTTCCTATATTTATGAACGTTAATGGTACATTAATGAATCATGAACCCTTCATTTTCTAGGATTAACTCTTACATCCAATCTATCTTGGAAACCATATATCAAATCCATCTACTAAGGTTGCATTTCTTTATTGTGCTCAACAATTTTTTACTCTGAGTTCTATTTATATGGATCTTCTGATGATCCCCTTTCTCCTTTAGACAAAGTGCAAAAACGCACTGTAAACAAAGTTGAACCTGCTCTTGCAGCCAACATCCAGCCATTATCACATTGTTGTAATGTTGCTTCTTTTTCTCTTTTATACAAATATTTTAAAGGTCACTGCTCTAAAGAGCTATAGTCTTTTGTACCATTTACTAAAATTCATTTTAGTGTTACTTGTCATTCAGTTAAGTCTCATCCTTTTTCTATGATATTTCCAAGTGCTTTAAAAGCTCTTATTTATCTAGTTTTTTCCTCGAACATAAGCTCTTTAGAATTTGCTTTCTTCATCTTGCTTTCCTGATTTATATAACTTGCTATCTTTTAAGTTGCCTGTCAATCTTTATCTTACTCTATAAACTTTATCTTTTCTCTTTTATAAACTTCCAACTCTAGTAGTGGTTGCTTGCAGTCTTGTTGGAAGCTTAGATGTTGAAAAAAAATAAAAAATACTTTTTATAAGATAAATATAGTTTACTACTGTGGATTATAATCTACATGACACTATGTATGCTATGTTTAATATTTGGATAGATAAATTTTCTCTTCTCTTTTTTTATTTATACATTTCCAAGTTCTTTCTGAAGCTTCTTTTTCTTTTTTAGTATGCAACCAGCTGTGGTATTTAATGGCGAATTAATTTGTTTAGTATTTTAGTGACATATTTATATATGCATATAATTTTTCCAGCTTTTTTAATTGTAACTAAGCCCACAACATTGATAAATAAGCTTTTATGTGCATAAAGTGCTATCTAAGCATCATTAACCACCTAACTACCTTGTAACCATCTCTACTAAACACTGTTTATGCATATTATGGATTTTTTTCTACATGACACATACATTGTGTAGTTTTTCTTATTGAAATGTATCTTAGTGTTAATAAATACTAATTCCCTATCTATTTCTATTTTTTATTCAATCTTCAGAGGTGTTTAATGTTGACCTAAGCTGGCAGTGTAAACTTTTAGTGATATTTTTATATATGCATTTAATTTTTTTAGCTTTGTACATCCAAACTTAATGGAGAATCAGCAGTAAACTTTATGTTTATTCAAAGCTATCAACGAGCTCTTGAGGTTTTAAGTCGTTGTTTTAAAATTTGTTTTTTATCACTCTATATTATTGGATTTTTTTATTTATTTTATTTACTTCTTTTCTAGACAGCATTAAGTGAGAATTGCACTACTGAATATGAAGATACTCTAGATAAAATTGGTTTAATAACACCTAATGATCTGATCAGTTTTGCATGGCAAGTTGCAACAGGAATGGTATTTGTTGCAAATTTGTTTCCATCATTATTGAAGTATCACTTATGATACATTAGGGTTTTAAAATTTAAATGATTTTAGTTAAATACAAAAATTCTTAGCAAACTTTAGCTTAACTAAATTTTGCCAGATTAAAAGTTATTTTGGGTTAGTATTGTTAAAATCTTCAGACTTCATATGATCCATGCCCTGCAGTTATTTTATATATTACATTATGACTATTATTAGTATTAAATAATAACATAATTGAGGTAGCTGAAATTTATGGAGCAAATTTTTTGATTAGTTGATCTAAAAATTTTAATAAAAGGAAATACTCATTCAAAACCTTAAAAAGTTATGTCTTACAAGCAATCCTGTTATAACAAATATTATTAAGGAATGAAATAATGTTTGTTTTTAACATTCTTAGATATCTTAAACATTGCAGTTTATTAGTCTTGCTATGCTGTATCCGTTATTCACCAATACATAAAATCGCTCAATGTTTGACAAATTATTAATGATATTGAGTATCCCTTTAAATAGCTTTTATGTTGAAATTAGCAGAATGGACCAGTAAAACTGGTCATGGTTACTTTATTTGCCATAATAACTGATAATGCTCTGTCACGATAATCACTGGTATTGCTCTGCGACACAGGTCTGTCTTGTCTGTCTGTCTTTGGAGCTATTGAATTAAATAAAAGTTATAACAATAATTAAAAAAATAATAACAATAATAATAATAATAATAATAATAATAATAAGAGAGCAGTCTTCTTAACTTTAATAGGCTCCTCAGCTTTGGCTAAGAGAATAAGATAAAAAAAAAAAAAAAATTCAATATTTATTGAAAACCTATACCGACTTAAACATAAATTATTTAAAAAAAAATTTTTAATAAAACTTTTCAGATAATACGGACCAGGAGTGAACTAAAAAATTCAAAAATTTTAAAAACTAATTTAAAATAACCTTTAAATTTACTTTGTAATAAATTATTATAATCTAATAAATAAATTATAATAATCTATGTAAAAAAATTATAATAGTCTAAGTAGTAAATACGAAAGGTAAATGTTTCTTGGTGTTTCCTTATGTAGTAATTTTAACCTGACTTCATGACAATTATAGCATTAATATTTTTTGTTTGAAAGCTCGTGAATATATAAAATTTAATTAATGTATTGTAAAATAAAGTTTAATTGAAAATATTAAAACAACAATATTATTATTCCTTCAATTTATATTGTTTATCCAACTTTGCAATGTATGTTTATTAACTTTGAAAAGTAAACTGTAATCTATCTTAACATTTTTTAAATTCTACTGATTGTAATTGAATATGCTAGTCTGTCAAGATATTGATAATACTGATAGAGTGAAATTTACAATTGAGTCTTTCCTTTGTCTAATTATAATTTTTATAAGAATTTGTTTAAATTTAATTAATAACAAGTTTAGCTTCAAAGAAGAAATATTAACTGCCACATTATCAAAAGATAAATGAATTTTTACTTAAATCTTGCAAACAATTTTGTACTTTTAACACCCTATGTGGTTTATAAAATTGTAGGATCTGTCAAAACCAGTTATTGTTCACCAGTTTTTGAATCCTAATTCTTAAATAAGTTAATCTTAAACTGAATTAATAGTAGATTTACAAGCACATTTTTATAGAAATCTTATATTTGAGGACAAAAAAGTTTTTTTTGGTAATATTGTATCATTCTGAACTTTTGTTAAGTTTGATTTAGTCACTTTGAACTATTAGATGAGGTAATCCAACATTTTAAAGTCAAGTAATTAATAAAGCCAGGTAAGTATGTGCTTCTAAGAATCCAAAAAGATGTGTCTGTAACACATATTTTCAAGGGTGTGGATGTACATTTAGCTATTTGATAGATATAAGATGTGTAAACAAGGGGAATCAAGAGACTAATGGAATTTAATGTAGACAACAATTTGAAATATAAAGCTTTCATAGAGAATTTAATTCTATTGATATACAAGGTTGATTATTTGCACAAAGATATAAATATTTTTTTTTTTTTTTTTTTTTAACAACTTCACTTCCAACAAGGCTGCAAGCAACCACTATAAGAGTTGGAAGTTACTGGAAGAGAAAAGACTAAATCTGTAGAGCAAGATAACGATTGACTGATGACTTAAAAGATTGCAAATTATATGAATCAGGAAAGCAAGATGAAGGAAGCGAATTCCAAAGAACTGATGTTCGAGGAAAAAAACTAGAAGAATAAGAGTTTTTGAAGCACTTAGAAATAGTAACAGAAAAAGGATGACACTTAATTGAATGACGAGTAACACGAGAATGAATTTTAGTAGATGGCACAAGAGACGCTAGCTCTTTCGAGCAGTGCCCATTATAGTATTTGTAGAAAAGAGAAAGAGAAGCAACATTACGACGATGTGACAAAGGTTGGAGATTGGCTGCCAGAGCAGGTCCAACTATGTTTACAATTCGTTTTTGCACCTTGTCTAAAAGAGAAAGAGCATCATTAGAAGATCCGCCCCAGATGTGGCAACAGTATTCCATACAGGGACGGATTTGAGATTTATAGAGATAGAGAATAGAATCTGGAGTAAGAAAGTGTCGAGCTCGATAAAGAGATGCAACCTTAGCAGATGCTAATTTTGCAATGGATTTGATATACGGTTTAAAAGAAAGATCAGAAGTAAGAGTTAATCCTAGAAGATGAATGGTAGATGACTCATCTAGTACATTACCATTCATAAATATAGGAAGATCTAAATTATTACGATAACGATTGGCCAAATAAAATTGAGTTTTATCTGAATTAAAGTTCACCAGCCACTGTGAGCCCCATGCTGTAGCAGAAGTGAGATCCTTAATATTCCCAAATTATGCAGTATTTTCAGAAAATTAATGATAGACTGAGCAGATTAAAAAACAAGTTATAAAGGAAATTTATGTTTATAAAATTTTTAAAGGCTCTACTTTTTTACACCCCTTTTTTATTAATTCTGATTCACTCTCAACAAAGCTGTAAGCAACCACTATTAGGTTGGTAGTTACTAGAAAAGAAGAATAGAGTTATGGAGCAAGGAAACAGCTGACAGAAGACTTGAGAAGTTGAAGGATGAATAAGTCAGGAAAACATGAAGATGGGAGAGAGAATAGAACTAGACTAATAAAAGTTTTTAGAGCATAAAGGGACAGAATAACAGACTTGATTAGTCTAATTATTTTACAAACTGCAAATATATAAATGTAAACATATGAATTTAAAAATTATTGAAATTTAGGTTTTATCTGCATTTTTTTCTCTATGTCGACAAAAAAGAATGTTTCGCTTCTAAATAAAGGAATTTGTAATAAAATTTATTGGACTTATTACAATAATAGAATAAAATTTGAAAAATGTTCAAAAGATCCTTAAACATAAGCAATCCAAAATGGGACAACAGTTTATGCTGCTTTTTTAATATTTATTCACTTGCAAAAAGGCTGCAAACAACCACTGACAACAAAAAATGGATTTTCATTGCGTTGTATCTAATGGGAGTGTAATAATTTAAACAATTTGGGACAATAAGTTGTAACTAATGGTAATGTAATAATTTAGACTATTTGAATAGTTTATTAACTTTAGTTTTTTAACAGAGCCTATAATGCATATTTTTCTTTGTTTATTATTTATAAATTTTTACATTCTTTTACAGTTCCAAAGTCTATTAATACAGCTGTTGCTGTATTTTTGCAGCTGTTTTAACATCACTTTTCCTTCTAATTTATCCACATATTTACACACTCATTTGTCACTTTTGAAATTATATTTGGAGAATTGGTGTTTGATATTTCTTAAAAATAAAGTATGAATATTAAATCATCAGATAGTCAGCTGAAGATTGTTATTGCTCAGATGGCAAACCAGCATAACTCCTGCTCCAACTCCTGCTTAAAATACCAGTTATTCCATTTTTAGTTGCTTTGGCCGTTTTTCTTTAAGTATATATTATAAACTTGAATTTAATTACTTGATATTTAAATTTCTTCCATACTTTATACATAAGTGTATACTATATGTTTGAAGAGAAATGTATTAGATATATTCATTTTTATATTTACTTTGATAGTTTTTTTTTTAAATCAACTTTTATAATTTTATAAAAGTTGATTTAAAAATTATAAACAACAACAATTTAGTTTTAATATTTAGTTTATTTAATTTGAGTTTTGTTGATCCTCAATGCAAGATGAAAAAAGTGTTTGTGTAATTAAAAAAAAAAATGAACCTATATTTAATCTCCTATATTTATTCTTATAAGTTATATTTGTGAACCTATATTTAATCTCCTATATTTAATCTTATAAGTTATGTTTGTGAACCTATATTTAATCTTCTATATAAATAATATTATGAGCATACTCTAACAAAATTTTCATTTGGAGGTGTTTTTATGTCTAATAAATTAATATACAAACCTGGAAGCAATCTAAAAGTCATTTTTCCTAAATAATCTGTCTGTATTTAAGTCTGTATTTATCACCATCTTAATAGAGAAATTCTAGAGTTTATAAATATATACTTATTTCAACTTTTTGAAAAACTCTTCTTTACAAAAAAAAAAAAACATGTTTTTAATGAGTGATTTTAATGTCAATCTTTTAAAAGACAACTCAGATAAATCTGCTTTTGAATTTTTAAATATTTTTTATTGTCACAAGATCATCAAAATCAATCAAAAACTTTAATTGAAATATGTTCTAATTTAACTTTATAACTTTAATTGAAATATGTTCTAATTTAACTTTATTTAAATATTCTTTTAATGAAATTCTGCTACTACAGTATCAGGTCATCTAGCCAAATTTTTAATACATCCATCTTTTAAAACAAAAACAAATCCTCTTAAGCACTGTATTTTTTGGTTACATGTAGAACCTTGTCTTCATTTAAAATAAAGAATATAATGTTTAAGTAGTTTCTTTTCCTCCAACTCAGACTTGAAAAATCTTATTAAACATAGAAACTTACTTGTCACTGAACTTGGTACTCTCATTTATTGAAGTAAAAAAATCTATTACTCTAAATTCTTCTCTGATAATACTAAAAATTTGAAATCTAATTGAGATGGTATTAGGAATCTTTTAAATATTCGTTCTAAATTAATGAATTACTTACAGAGCTTTGTAAAAATATTATTCAAAGTTTTTGTTGTTTATGTAGCTGGTTAAAGAGTAATTGTATTTCCTTGCATGCCAATAAAATTAAGTACATTATTTTTTATCTCTTGTGATTTGGTTTGTGATACATTTTTGAATGTCAGTTAGTAACTTATGTTAATTTAGTTTTTATACCACCAATATTTATTTTTTCAAATTTTATAATAATTTTTTATATTTTTATAGTTATTTTCTAACAGTGCTTATAAATTTACATTATGATAATATTATTTGGTAATTATTTTCATTATTATTACAATATTGTTTGACTAGTTTGTAACTACATGTGTAACACCTAACCAATTTTTGTAAATTTAGGATGAATTTTTAAAACATTCATAATTTGGTAAAATTGACATAAACATTATGCACTGTTAAATTAAGGTTTGAATATATTAACGACATGAAAAAACTTATTTACAAATGAATCACTAACCATTTTTTTTGAAATAATTGTTAAAAATAAAATCTCACAGACTTTATAAAAACAATATTATAATGACTTCTATGTAAATCTTACACAGCAATAAGACTTCAATATACTTTAGAAAAGATATAAAGGCATAAATTTAAATAACTTTTTAATGTTATAATTATGGAGTCTACTGAAAGAATAGGTGATTTATTGTAAAATAATAACTTTTATGGCTAAGTATGTTTTGTTGTAAAACAAAATAAAATAATTTTGTTTTTGTATCACTATTGTAAAACAAATCAAAACTTATTCTGTATTGGTTTTAATGAAATAAAAACCAATTTTGGTAGTTTCTTAAAAAGAAAACTTTTTAAAAAATCACTAAAACAACAGATGTAACACTTACGAGTTTATCATTCATTAAATTCTCTTTAAACCTTTTTTTTATTTCAGGAATATCTTTCATCTAACAAACTAGTACACCGAGACCTTGCTGCAAGAAATATTTTGATAGGTGCTCAGAAAAATGTAAAAATATCTGATTTTGGGCTAACACGGAGAATCAATGACGAATTGAATTACATGAGCAGTAAAAATCGTCGGTTACCGATAAAGTGGATGTCAGTTGAAGCCATATTTGATCAAATGTTCACGGTGTGCAGTGATGTGTAAGCTAATTAATTAATTCAAATGAAATTAAATTTTAATTCAAATGTGTCTAAAAATTTTTGTATACTTTCTTTTTAATATATATTAAAATTAATTTATTGTGACTTGCTTATATAAATAATATAAGTTAATATATTTTAAAATATGTAATTTATATAATTTATGTTTTAGGTGGTCTTATGGCATTCTTTTATTTGAAATTGTTACGCTAGGTGAATGGTGAAGTTTTGTATTGTAGAATTTTAATGATCTTAACTTTTAGTAAAATTTTGATTTTTTTTTTTTTTTTTTTTTTTTTTTTTTTTATTCTACAGGAGGTACACCTTATCCCAGAATAAATAATCGCGAGCTTCTCACTCTTTTGAAATCTGGTTACAGAATGGGTCGACCAGAAAATTGTTCTGAACCGATGTAATTTCTTTTTCATACTTTTTTTTATTTTTGTAAAGAAATATCTGTCTTTCCCACTAGTTTTTTTTTCTTTTTTGTTAATTAAGGTACGATATAATGCTGCGCTGTTGGAGTGAAGATCCATTGCAACGACCTACTTTTACAGAATTGCGTGAACAATTTGATAAAATTATGTCTCAAGGTGAATGTTTCATGAATTTTGAAATTGACGAAGAAAACGTTTGTTATAACGCTGCATCATTTAACAGTCTACCTGCTGAAACAGATGATGTTGCATTAGAGGAAGATATTTTCCAAAAACCTTTTTACATAAAATCAGTTGAAGAAATTAAAATATTGACTGAGGAAAGTTTGATTTCATTGAATGAATGATGCAGAAACCAGCTTTCTACAATGTGTGAAGATTTGTGCAATTAGTAATTTCTAACACTTTATTTCTTCTACTTTTTTTTTTTTTTTTTTGTTTTTGTTTTTGTTTTTGTGTTATAAAATACTCTTTTACAATATAAAGTTATCTATTATTAAATAAAAAGGGTACAAAAATTTTTAGCTTTTTAAGTTTTTTGCACTATTTGAACAGAACTTATATGTAAAATATTTAATAGTTTTAATTTATAATTTATATTATATTTGTATACTAATTGAATTAATAAAAGTTTCTTCTAATTGTTGTTGAACTTTTTTAATTTTTTTTATTTCTAAGTGCGTCACTGGCTATTTACCAAAGTAAAACGTTTCACCTTTTCTTTTTTTTTTTTTTTTTTTTTGGAGTTATGCAATTGTAACCAGGTTGTGCTTTCTTTATCCAGTTTACTAAAAATGTAAAAATGTAAAACAACTGCAAACAAATGTATTAAACAAATTAAAAGAACATAATATCTGTCAGGGTTACACCTTTTTCGGAGATTTCCGGAATTCCGGATATTTTTCTCAACTTTTAGTTTTTCCGGATATCAAAAATGTTTTCCATATATACAAGTATATATGGAAATATATATAAATATATAATATAAATATATAATATAAATATAATATAAATATATAATATAAATATATATAATATAAATATATATAATATAAATATATAATATAAATATAAATAAATAAATATATACAAGTATATATGTTTTCCATATATACAAGTATATAATATATTTTTGTAATGTATTCATTTTTTAGGCTTTTTCACTCATCACTCACACAAAAGTTAAAAAAAATTAAAAACAACTTAGCTGAAAACAAAATTAAATCGAATTTAAGGGAAAATATATTTCCAATTTTTTCCGGATATTTTACCCTAATGATTTTCCCGATTTTTAAAATATGACCTGGATAATCTATGATGAACAAACTGGCATAAGTACAAATTTATATCAAAATCTTACATAGGAACGAATCGGTTTAAGTGCAAACTGACGTGCACGCCAGTTTATGTTATTATTTGCTAAGTTGTCGACACATGTCATGTGTCGACAATTTAGCAAATAATAACATAAGTACGAGTAAAATTACTTGGCATACTTTGTGACTTTAGAATAAAAGGGTTCTATCTCCACTTTTGAAAGTTCTGAGATAAAGTGATTTAATAGATTGACCCTTTACACTGTGTTGTAAGGTCATCTAGACACACAATATTTACGCCACATGTGACGGCAATGTAAAATGTACAAACCCTATAGATATTACCTTTTAAAGTTTTCTTTACCTGTAACTCATCACCTTTGCTGTTTAGAAACAAGACCTTTTTACTTTAAAAGCTATTAAGCTAATCATTTTAATGAAGTTCCATCAGCATATTTAGGTAAAATAAGGCATTAAATATTTTTTTGAAATACAAAAGTGCTGAAATAATGTCAATTCAGATATTATTTCAGTACTTTACTTCAGGTAGTGTTTGCTCCGCATATTTTTTATTAACTAAACGTCATCGACTAGAGGAGCTGTCAACCACTGGGTAGTTTACGCTTCTATGAAACGTATTAAAATGACTCAAAAGTTGATAAAGTGTAGTTATTCGAACCAGTTTCCTTAAATGAATAAACTAAAAGAAAACGAAAAGTGATTAATTCACGTTATTCAAATTGAAATTAGCAACTGGTGGAGTCAAGGATGAGTCCTGTTGTTGGGTGTTTAAAGAAACGTTAAAAACAAGACTTTTTTTAACAACACAAGACATTTTGGAAAAAAGAGCTTTTTGTTTTAATTCTGTTTTGAAAAAAAAATGAATTTAAATCTTCAAAATGATTTTAATTTTTCTAAATTTAATAACAATAAAACATTAATATATTATAAAATGAAATTTGAAATCTATCAATAAGTATGAGTTAAGTTTATATTTTAGTAATATAAAGCTCTTAGAGTTATTAACCTTTCAGCTTAAGAGACACAAATTTTGGGGTGTTTTTTTCTCCGTGCGCCGTTTACTGAATTTTTTTTTTTTTTTTGTAAAGCACTCATTTAAGTAAACATATTCAAGTTTGAGCCACGTCTAAAAGTTATCTTTCTCAAACATCACAAGATGCTCCCGTGATTTTTACTTGGGTTTTACTTTTGATAATATATTTCTGTTCCACAGTAAAACTGTTGCTTTGAAAATGCGGTCAAAAAAAAACAGTTTAGTTATTTGAGGTCCCTACAAATTACAATGTATAATGGCAGCATTTATTACTTTATTACTGGCGCTGCCTTTAGAAAACTCATCATATTTTCAAAATAAACATTTTTAATCTTTGTTTAAATATCTTGGATTACTTTATCAATCTGATTCAAATCGTTTTAGCACCCTAATTTAAATATTATCGAGCGACAAAGCAAAAACGAATTTATAAAAAAACATGTATAAATAATAAATTTTAAAAAATAAAAGAATTATAAAGTTGAATCAATTTTTCCAAAACAACAATTAATCTGTTAAATGTTATTCTAAAATTCAATTAAAACATTTAAAATGTTGATATTGTGAACAAATGTTTCGCTTTTCTATTACTGCTTTTTTTTTTTGCCATCATAGAGGTGGTAACCCAAGAAATAATTTTTTTTTTAATTCGAGCTATTTATTGATATTTTGTAGTAAAACCTAATTCAATTTCAAAAAATTAAAAAAAAAATCATTCAAAATTTTTTTTTGCCTTGATTATCCAAAAATAAATTTGTTAAACTTCAAACAATGGGGTGTATTTGAAAACATAATATCTCACTATATAACTCTACCGCTTTAAAATTTTGCAGAAATGTTTGTTATATAAAATATTTTCATTTGTCATAGAATTTTTTGATTTGCCTTGATAACTCTAAAGTTATGCAAAATATTTCAGAGTTTATTTATGTAGTCACTCAAATAAGTACCGAAATTCATATAAATCAGAAAATTTCTCATTATATAACAAAATCCTATGAGAAATGATTTATCAATGTCTTATAAAAATGCCCTGAAAATTTCAGTTCATAAATCCATACCATTTTTAGAAAACCATGTTTTGAAATGTGGAATGTCTCGAAAATTATTAAACCTGGGAAACGAGACTTTTAATAAAGTATTTCAAAAATAATGCTTAAAAACCACCAGGTATATATGAAGTTTGTTTTTCATTTGAAACCTCAACATCCACTATGCCTTTTTTAACTTTTCTTAGTTTTTTACGCTGTTTCATGACCATACTAGAAGATTTGAGCTTCATATATTTAACACGCTTATTATCAGCTTCCATTAGTTTCTTAGAAGTTATTTGTCCTTTAATTCCAAAACTTTCTAAAATAGATTTTACTCCTTCCCCACCATCATTAAAATGAAGAACTGCAGAATTTATTGTCAATTCAAACGTTATTCTGAATAAGAATACATTTTTAGGACAGCGAGTCCATATTATTGCGTTTAATGCTTCATTTGCATTTTGTGTTTGTCCGTGGAGGCATTAGGTTAACAGTTTATCATCAGATAAATCTTGAAAAATTGGTTTTAGCTTTAAATAAATCCATATTGCTAAATTAATTTTATCTTTATGAAACTTAGTACTATTTATTTGATCAAGTTGCCACTTACACCAAGAATTTTTATCTCTGGGACACATAGCATGGCGACAAGCAGGATCTTTAAGTGCGGTGCAATGGTAGAGAATAGCTCCTATAGCTCTCTTCATTGCGTATACATTATCAGAATTTCTCCGAATGGCAAGACCGTAGTAGTTTTGCATGGAATTAATAATAGTATCTGTAAGTTTCCCTTTACCATGTATTGGAGGTTTTGTCCCTTTAAAGTTTTTCACTAAATTTCGAACTCTAGTACCAAGTCGCTTTTGTACATGCCCAATACACTCTAATTTCTCAATGTTAACTCCGTTCTCTTTGTAAGGATTAGACTCAACAACTTCTTTAAAAGAAGAAGTATCTCCATCTCCTAAATATTGAGAATAAGTTATATTGTTTTTTTGGATGGAACGTGCAAATATTTGAATAGCACCGGCAGCTTCCATGGCACCAGAAGATTTAGTGTGGTTTATATGACAAACATGATTTACTTTCCATATATCATGTTCAGGTGTACCTTCCTTGGATCTCAACATTGTACAACCTTTACAGTGTTTTGAGAAAGAATGATAATCTAAAACTTTATCATCAACAACAGCTGTAACTACACCATTCAATGATGCATGACCTCTCTTCTGCCAAGAACCATCTATTGTAACGCGTTTGCAGACTGGCTGAGTATTTGCTTGAGAAAATGCACTAACAGCTCTTTTCGTTGATACTTCAGCTGACTTAGCATATGCAGTTGAAACACAGTTGTCATTCAAGTTGTCCAAAGCTGATTCACCAATACCATACATGTTAAAACAGTTAGTAAACATTTTCAATGCTGCCTTTCCCCGACCAATCTCACAAAAACTAATGATTGCTCGAACATTTGACTCATACAACTTGCGACCACGTTTAGTTTATCGATTAGAATCGTGGCACTCTTTACTTGTGAAACAGGAGTTAATCCAACCACAGCTCATACGTTTCAATTTTTATAAATGAGCAAATCCCATTCTTTTTTTAGGTTATCAATAAATTCTATCGGTTGTTTGTTATCACATTTAGGACAGTACAGAATTGGTAGAATTAACTTTTTCATTTGTTCAATATCCATAAACATAAAATATTTACTATCATCATTATTAATAGATTCAGTAACAAAACCTGTAGTTTTAAGTTTCCTCGAGCTTGCACATTCAGTTTCTAAATCTGCTTTAGTTTTGTTGTTGTTAAAGTTTTTTTCTTTGGTTTTAACCATGTGGCGATTCTTTGGTGGTATTTTTTTCTTTTTTCTTTGCAAATTTTGTTTTGTTGAAATCATTTTTACTGACTAAAATCTAAATAATAAAAAGTTCAGATAACAGACTTCAAAACAAAAAAGAAATTTGCCTTCGATAAGCAATTCATATCACCAGACACACGTCATGCTTATACTTTTAACTTAAAAAAGTGTT